ACATACAGTAAAAAGATATAATATCTTCATTCCAATTTGCCCTTTTTTATATGGTGATATCAAACTCTATCCGGGTCCATCTGATTTTAATGATATACAGACAGACACTCATACTTCCTTGGATAGATCATATAATGTGTTCAACAAGCGAGGCCTCCACTTCATACACCTAAAACACTTGCCCCATACTTTGTGCCATATAACACAGGATAGGAAATATGTGCAGTCTGACTGAATTCAAACCAGGGACCCTCAGAATTACACATTCTGAATGAGCTGTCTTGCTACCTGACGTTTCCCGCTCCCCCACAATTAGACAACAGTTCCTATTCCACCCACCCCCTAATTAGATAACAGTTCTATACTCAACCTTAGAAAATATTTTATAAGCCTGAATTTGCCTTTAAGGTCCAAAATGGTTAATGCAGAACTCCTGATTTAGAGATGTAAGTGTAATCATATCATACATTTATCTTGCTCCAAAATATTGATAATGTTCTATTATGAAAAGTAAAATTTATCAGAAACATCCCGTGATTCATATCAGAATTTAAACATTTCATTATTTTTTGACCCACCCGTAGTACCACTACTTTCCATAGTAATAAAACTGAGCCTGCAACAGTTTATAATTTTGATGTTTATGGCTTTTTTTTGTTTCAGTTCTTCTCTATTTTAAGGGGAAGTAACTCATGTTACCATAATGTTTGTTCTTTTCTGTCAATCTAAGTCATACAAACTATTTTTTCTGTATATAAACAGTATGGTTATTGGGAGTGTGATTGATAGGCTATAGAATAACTTTCTTATATTTTTGGTTGATAAATAGAATAGAATAATGAAAATTTACCGGTTGAACCGGTTGTATGTTCATCAAAAGCATGAAGGCTCTCTCACCCTTGTCAGACTTCATGTTTTTGTCATCACGTGACTGCATATAGCCTAGAGTTTAATTCACATTGCTTTGTAAACAGGTGTTGTAAACAGGTGGGGGGAGGGTTGGGGGGGGGGGAGGGTTGTATATGTTACGGTTTAGAACTATGCACTGTTTAAGATACAGTGTGTAGGCGGCCGGATAGCTCAGTCGGTACAGCTGCCGATGGTCTGATTGCACATTTTTCTCACACTGACAAGTGGGAGGAAAAATTTCAATATAGAGATGAAATATATTATGTTTAAGAACTGCTTGCTTTTTAGGGGAGAAAATGTGTAAGTCGCAGGATAGCTCAGTTTGTAAAGCTTCATTACGGTATTCCGAGGGTTAAACTTTTGTAAAATTTTAAATCTTTGAGAAATAATACTCAATATTCAAGAAGTCATATCATGTAATGCAAAAAAAATATTTCATAGTTGATACCATTGAACAAAATTGAAACTTCAAGCATCTGGCATAGGTAATGACAGTCTATCATGATTCAAGTATTATCTCTCTGATATACAACAACTGGTGGATGTGGCTGGTATTTATTCCACTACTGCTCCCATTACCTGTATAGTCCATGGGTTTATTCTAGATCGATCTTCTTACATTTATAATAATATGTCATTGACATGTCAGCAATCATAAGCAATCAGTTTTTGGAATGCAGCAATGCTAGTGACTCAATATACTTGTATCTGGTAAAAATAAATCTAAAGTTGAAGATATTATGTCTTATGACATGAGTCTTGTTACACCCCAGTTACACAGAACCATCGGTGATTGATCGGTAGTTTTTTTAGCCAAATTATGTAGTGAACCGATGACAACGTATTTAACACCGATATCACCTATTGGTCACATGTTTTCCACCTATCAACTGCTATTGGGGAAAGATAAGTTTCATCGGTGAAAAATTACCGATTGGGATTTGTAAACATGTTTAAAATTCTCAATCGGTGAAAATATTTTACAAATAACCGACAGCAACCTATATGCAAGCTCTTAATCACCGATATCGTCGATCGGACAAAGATAACCAAATATGAATCACCGGCCATATCTGACGGAAAGTGTTTAACCACTGATGACTAGCTATCAAACACCGATTAATCAGCGTTACGCCCGATTTAGCTCCGATTTACAAACGATGAAAACCGATAGTATTTCAGCATTTTAATCATCGACCCAACCCCGTTTGAGTTTGCTTTCTGTCACCGATGGCCGTTTACACAGAAAACCAGAAAAAAATCACGCATGACAACCGATCATAACAGCGCGTAAATTTAAAATTAAATGACCTATTTGGGACCGACCGTCTGTGTAACTGGCCCCTAGTGATTGGTTAATGACAATAAATTGTCTTTGCATCTTTGCAATACAGAGTATATTCTTTTTGGCTTAAACAGGGCACTAACCTCCAGATAACATGTAATAGTTCTAATATAAAGCCAACATCTTATGATAAGTATATGGGTGCAATTCTTGATCAAATATATTTTGGCATCGCCTTAGATGCTTTGCATCAATGATTTTCTTGTTTTATTAATGTCGGACAGGATGAATGGCCATATGAAAACAATTGTCGCTGATTGTATTGATGTATTAGAGAAATAAGCAAAATCAAATCAAGTAAAGGACAGTAAACTCGAATTTGACTAAGTGATCGCTTAAAGTGTTTATGTGAGTATGCAAAGTTTAAATAAATGGTATATTAAGATCTATTTGCCCTACATAGAGCATCGTATAAATGAATGGTATAAAATCTATTTGCCCTACGTAAAATACTCATGCGCGAAATGCTACTTCCGTTTCTATGGAAATATCGTATTGTAAAATGTCTATTATTCAGTTTTCATTCTCCATCTATGTTTATATGTACTTGCAGCGTACATCTTTAGAATGCTTACACATATTCTTCTTCCCTTTTGGTTGACATGATTTTGTTTTTGTTCTTGACGTTTCGTTTTGTTGCTATATAATTTATACAATAACGTTTCCCTCATTATTAATTTAATGTATGTTTCTTTATTCTTTTCCATTCCGTTAATTATTGCAATTCTATTCATTCTATTTAAAACTTGTAAGATAATAGAAATAGTTTGATTTATAAATGTAATATAACAGTAAGAGCTTAATGTTACATGTATATCTAAGATTTTTTTCTGCTGTAAAATTCAGATAGAATGCACCATTCTTTGTGTAACTTTCTTGCCAGAAGCAGATTTATCATTTCGTTATGGGCGGTTAAATGTTAATAGATAACTCTTTTATGTTATCACAGTATTCTATTTCAAGCATTTTATCAAATAAAGTTAAATGTTTCAATTTTAAATTGGAGCGTTGTTTAACTTTTGTCCAATTTATTTCTGATAATGTATCACGGTACGTCGGAAAAAAGTCGCGTGCACTTAGCGTGATAAATATGAATTTAGTGAAATTGTAGCTCAATAGTTAAACACGTGAGGACTTTTAAATGAGCAAAATAGATATATAAATGATATAACAAACATGTATTAGGTATTAATATTCCGTATTCGAGAACAGATATAAACAACTTTGAAAAAGATTGATAAGTTATTAATTTGTGCAATACAAGAAGCAAAAATTTATTACCATGGTTTGATAAAGTATGTTTGTAATCGGGTCTGTCTGTGAACAGTGGTCGTCGTTATCGCAAGACAACAACCTTTTCAAATCCATATATCAATAGCACTTTGACAAATTAACATAAATAACACATACCGGTATTTGAGATGAATCGTGAATTGACCGATGATAGGGAATAAAAGAAGTTTGAAAATATGCGTTTGAAATTGTTATAATACAATACACCTTAAGTTGAAATCTGGAGTTGTGTATGTAAAAAATATTTGTACGACCCGGAACATTGTTTTCTGTTAACCGTTCCTTATTATTTTTGCAAGGTCGTTCAAACGTTTTCGTGTATATTTGTCATATATCGTTATCATTCTTGATTCTTTGTCATTTAATTAAACTAATTAAAATCTAACGTGCATTAAAATTCGTACATTAAACAAGTAACATATTAGCTATTTCAAATAGTTGTAATATGATAGTAATTATTTGTTATAAAACTTACGTTCGTTACAGGTGTGTGCATAGTTCTTTTGTTTTAAGAAATCATCAAATTAAACTACGGTGAAAGATTCTTTAACTCATTTTTTATGATTTTATTTCATAAATATGATGCTAAAAAGATGATTCATCAATATTGTAAGATCCTAAAAGCATTACTTGTAAAGATATTACCGAATTTACTTTTCATGTAAATACAGAGAGGTTATTAGAAATTTATTTTCAATAAAGTCTAAGCCGATTTTTTCAAAAAGAAATGAATGCATACATTTTAATGATTACTTATAACGCGTGTAAACATTTGCAGTACATATTTAACTTATTCTTGGATGCTTGGAAATTGTTTTAGAAGAATAATTATATACATATATAGAATTTCACTTAAGTGTTGTTACATCCTTAATTACAACATACAGGTTCTTTAATACTATGATAGACATTTGTAAGACTAGAGCAGTCGCATCAGATGTTTTAAGAAACATAACAGCTACCTGTGATAATTAAGTAGTTTCTTGGAAGATATGTGATAAAGTGGATTCAGTATTTAACTCTTGCATCTATTTTTAAAGAACATTGAGCGTTACTTTTTTATCTCTCGAAATTTAAGATCCTGTCGTTTGTATTTTTAGATCAATATAAATGTAGAATAATACAACAGCACATTATTAATGTTAAATTTGTTCCATTTATGCATTAGTATTGTAAATTCAAACATTTATTTATTATCTAAAATAGTTGAAACATTTGTTTTGCGTTTCATTCTCTTTCATGTATGTTTACATTTAGGAAAATAGGCATTATAGCGAAACTTCTTTCTTTTTATACATTTTTTCTTTTATTTTTTTATATATTCTTAAAAAATAAGAATAATAACAATCTCTTTTAAAAAAGTTGATAAACCTTAATTTAGCAATTTTAAGAACTTTTGCTAGAAATATCCGGACTACCGCGGTATCTTTCTTTATTTTTTAACAGTGCTTGTTATTTAAATACAGGTAACTGCGAGCCAAGTGGCGTCGACTCGTAAAATCTTGGAAAGCTCTGTCAAAATATGAACATATCAGAATAAAAGTAAAAATCATCTGCTTCGAAATAAAAAAGCAAAACGTTTCATTTATTATAATACTAATGGATTTAGATAGATTGAATAAACACTCCGTGATGAAAGGATTTTTGATATTTCTTTATGCGGTATTGGCTATAAATTCTGTGGACAGTCAAGATAGTAAACAGTAAGTTAAGTTTTTTTCTATTTTGTTTCCTGTGCATTTTTACGATACTGTATTTATAAATGATTTAACATTTTATATCGTCCACAGTCTAGTGCATTTTATGGAAGTCAGTTTTCCATCGTAGCGATTCAAATGGAAATGACCAAATTTTGTTTTTATTACTTAGTAAATAAATTATTCATTACAATGTTATTAATATTCAGTAAAATATATAAGACAATCATTGTAAAAGTTCTGTCTTACTACTTGTTTCAATGCGAAAGAGAAATATCAAGATTCTATGAGCATAAGAGATGAAACATTTATGGCATAAAACTTGCAATTAAAATCGTACAATTTTCATTATATTTTTGATTGTTTTTAAAATATCTTAAAGAAAGTATAATAATAACCGATTTGCACTTCTTGTAGAAATTTCATGTTTTTTTCCCCTTTCGTGCATGACTTGTCTATGATGCTCATTTTTATCATATAAAAATAAATAATACAGCAACACCGAATCCTAAACTTCAGAAAATCCGCGAATGATATAATGTGTGTCTTATTAACATATAACTTCAACCAATATTGATGAGATGTTAAATGATTCCCATTCTACGTTCGTATTTTGTTCAAAGCATTAAAAACTTCCAACCTTAGTAGTAAACTGTAAAACAGGTTTGTTTTCCTTATCAAAGGATCAGCGTTTGGTAATTTAAAGCCAATTAGAAACAGATCTATCGCTGAGAATGAAACAAAACACTTGCCCAGTTTGCTTATGATTGTTTTATTGGAGAGGATGTTGAATTTTAAGTTATAAGTAACTAGGAGATTTTGACAAGTTACTGCCAGAACTGCTGTAGATATATGCTATTCTGTAAGTTAACTCATCACAGGACGTGATTAAAATGTTATTGCATGTTGTTTAAATAGAAGCATACTGATATATATGTTACTTTAAATTTGTTGTAGCATTTTATGGAATTGTCGACGTTTCAATATAAATATGGACAAATATTTATTTCAGCGCCACTCTAATGAAATGACAAAATGTTACGAACAATTTATAACGACATAAGAACAACATATCAAATTGAATTTTGTTTGTATTTTGAAGTTATCTATAAACCTTTAACCCTTATTCTGCTGGAACCGGTGTCGCGTAATAATCACACTGGCGTAACAATCTCCATGGTTTATACATGTTATTCAAAACTTGCTTGTGGCTTTGTTTAACAACTGGAAGCGCTTTGAAAATTGGTATAAATCTTCAGCAAAGAACTATTATATCGGCGTATTTGTTTGAATATTGCGACAATACATATTTTATACCAAATATATCGATGAAATTGAGCAAAATCGAAAAAATTTGCAATTTTTGTAGCCCGTTTTGAAAAGACCTTCAACATTAAAAAGGCATTAAAATTCATGACTATAAAGGCTTTTAAAACATGTCGGGGGTGCCTCTATTAAGATTTGTTTTGTGGTTGTTTTTATCATGGACAATGTTCAACGAGGAAACATGAGACATTATTTTTATTAATTTGTTACAACTGTGATTTTCGTTTTATGTTCCTCTTTCTTCATGTCGCCCCCTAAGCTGCGACAGCATGAAATAAAGAAATGACAGAGATAAGCCATCATACAAACCTAATTTTTATTTAGTTGTTAAATAACACTGCTGCCTGATAAGAAATTAAAAAAAACTTATTTGAACTTGAAAGTATAACTTACAAAACTATGGTGTCTGAATTCTGCCATTTTATTATGTTGCGGTTGCTTTATTAATGGACAATGTTCAATCGAAAACAGTGAAATATTATTTTTATTAATATATTTTACTGTGTTTTTCGTTTTGTATTTCTCATTCATCATGTCTCCCACCTCAACCGCGACAAAATGAAATATCCTTGGCAGAAATCAGCCACCATACAGAACCAAATTTTAGATTTAGTGGTTTAAATAAAACACTTATGCCGGATAAAAAGCATATCACAAGTCTTTTGCCATATCAATGGGCAATTGTGTTACAGGGTGATAAATATGTGCAGCCTAAGCGGGACTTGAACCTGGTCCCCTCAGAAGACCGTACCGCAGTTCTACCCACTAAGCTATCATGAGGTTTCAGAACAATGTGAATTTCATTCTGAGATATATGCAGTCACAGCCCAGTGTTGGGCGCAAAAGGTTCAAAATGTATAATTTGACCGCAACTTGAACCCGCGAATCTCAGAATACCATACCACAGGCCTACCGACTGAACTATCCATTCGTTTACACATCTACTCCACTAAGTGTGAAAGTTCTGAATCATGACATTTCTTCACCACAATATTTAAATTTGTCCTCGAATTTCTCAGGGTTACAGAGAAATTTGAATTTAACTCTGAGCTATATACAGTTCACGGCCCCGTGTTGGGCACAACATGTGAAACAAATGTGTAGATTTACCGGAACTCGAACCTGGGACCCTCAGAATAACATACCGCAACTATACCGACTGAGTTATCCAGCTGTTTACTACACATCTTCTCCCATAAACAGTGAACAGTTCTGAACCATGACAAACTCCATCTTATTAAATTCAAATATTTTTTTATTCAAAACTTTTAAGAATAGTTCTGTTATCATTATCATTGATAAATGCAATTTAAGTAAAATGGAAATCTTATCCAAGTGAGTTGATCTGTTGTTGAGTTGTAACATCCAAGGATCATGAGACTACTAAGATTCCACCTCCACCTTAATACATTTCAACAATCTAACAGATGGACCAAAGTCCCATATGTTCAGGACTGCTAGAACTAGGGTTACCTCTGGAACTAGACAAACTAGGAAACTACTGTATATCAATTTTCTATCATGCTATCTCATTCTTACATTTTATCTAGATCTTTTACTTTTAGAATAATGATGTAAGTGATAAATATTCTATCATAATATAGAAAAATATTTTGCCAGAAAGTTGTAACTGTTATAAATAAAATATATTAAAATGATATAATTTAAAATGATAAATTTGAATAAATAGAATTTATTCATTCATTCATCTTTGTGTTTTTTTTATTATTTAAATTCCCATGAATGCTTCATTTTATAAGCGGACTCATTTCGCCACGGCGAAGCATAATGTCTCTGACAGATGAATCCTTGTATTCAGGATTTGTACTCAACTATTTTCTTATTAACAAACAAACCTAGATATTTCACGATCAATAGAATTTAAGCTTATACATTTTAATCTGAACATAAGAATGATTGACGGCTATTTCAATCATGCTCACTATGAATAGATATTAAAATTAGATATTTTCTTTTTTTTTATAATCATTGAAATTATTTTTATAAGTCATTAAAAAAATTCTAATCAATCACAGGATTGTATGAAATATCTAAACAGAGGGTAGTAATTCTCATAATTATTTCATGCTTGAACTGGTACCTAAAAAAAACAACTTAAAAGTCCATATATTTTAAATTAATAATTGCAGCATTTACATACTCACGGGGGAGAATCACGCCGTTCGTTACCCAAACAAACAAGATGGCGGATGCAGCAAAAAAGTAGGTTTTTCCCTTTTTTCTCTGAAATTCGTGATGTTCTGATGTTAAAGTACGCTTCGAATCTGGTGACGCGCATTTCAGATGAAGTACGGGACGAAACATCATGAAATAATATCCTGTGTGCCAGGTAAATTGTGAACAAGGTTGTTTTATGTACCTTTACATTAGAACATCACGAATTTCAGAGAAGAAAGGGAAAAACCTACTTTTTGGCTGCATCCGCATTCTTGTTTGTTTGGGTAACGAATGGTGTGATTCTCCCCCTTGATACTATATTGCCACAAGAATACAGTGTATTGTATACTTGTTTTGCTCATCATCATTATCATCAATGTAATCATCATCACCATCACATCATATGATTCTGCTCATGTTTAACATTATCAACTTAATCATCATCATCATCATCATCATCATCATCATAATCAACATACTTCTGCTAATCATCACAATCATTATAATCATAATTTACCGAAATGACATAACCATATATGAAAAAGACATCACCAAAACCATTGCAATAGCTGTCAAAATTATAGCACCATCTTTAAAAACGACATCACCGTTTATCCAAATCACAGCACAATTCTTTAAAAGGACATGTCCACTTGAGAAGTATATATAGAAGGCAGCTATGGTGTTCCAAAGTCTTTCACACAGTTCATTTTTATGTCATAACTCACTTTCATAAACTCAAAGAACTGAATTTCAAATTACCAAAAAGCCACGGAGTGAGGTACTTATTAGTATTTATCTTTTCCAGATTAGAATCTTAAGGATCAAAAAGTCGCATTTTACTGACTTTTGTTTGATCTTGCACACATGTTTTTAAATGAATTTAGATAATAAAAACCAGAAACTTTCGGTAAAGCATATAATTATACGTTGATGTATTTATCAACGCGTGTGGATTGAAACGTGATAAATAAAGACTTTTTGTTATCTTATAACCCCCTTCTACAAATTGCTGTAAAATCAGATATTTTTGCGAGGCCAAATTTTCGCGAAATCAACAATTTGGATTAATTGGCGAGGATAATTTTTAGCGAATTTCTACTTTTTGTTCTCTTAAATTTACATGATACTCAAAGTCTTATCGGACATTTATTTCCGTTGGAGTCTTCAATTAGCAAAGCTTATGAAATAATTCTTTGAGAAAAAATCTGGTTAAAAGTGAAAAGCAGATATTGGGCCTTTTTAACATAATTATGATAACTTCCAAATTTTTCTTCCTGCCACATATTGAATAAACAAGGAACACTTTATCTCATCTGACCACAAAGTGTTCAAGGTGAGCTTTTGTGATCACAATTTGTTCGGCGTCCATCGTCCGTCAGTCCGCCAGTGCGTTCGAAGTAAACTTTTTACGAACGACTTCTTCTGAAAAATCACTGCGTCAAATCTGATGAAATGTTTCTGGATTGTTCCTAGCATTTTGCAAATGATTTTGCTCCCTTGAACACCTAGGTCAGAAGGGCTAAAAAAGATATTTAAAATGAAATCTTAATCTTCATTGAAAGTGCAATGCCTAGAACTTAGATATTTTGTGTGTAGCATCGTCTAATAAAACTCTACAAAAATCGTCCATATTATAGCCCTGGGGTCAAAGTTGGCCTCGCCCTAGGGGGTCATTGATTTTTCTATAGTTATAAATGTAAAAACTTACAACTATGACAAAGGCTAAAGGTAAGATATTTGGTATGAAACATTGTAAAGTAGACCTCTACCAAGATTGTTCAAATTATAGCCCTTGAGTCAAAATTTGCCCCGCCCCGAGGGTTTTTTATTCATATTTATACATATAAAAAACTTTTTAAAAAGTTTGGTCTGAAGGAACAAGACTTAGAGCATTGAAATTTGTTATATAATATAATTTAAATGTCCTCTACCAAATTTATTCAAATTTTTCCCTTAGTGTCAAACTTGGCCCAACCCCGTGTGTGGCAAGATTTTCCTAATATGTATATAGTAAAAACCTTCTTCTCTGAATTGACAAAGGCTAGAGATTAATTATTTGCCATGAAACATTGTGTAGTGGACTTTTACCAAGTTTGATCAAATTATGGTTCTGGGTTAAAAATTGGCCCTGCCGCGGGGGCATTTATTTTTTTAGGTCACACAGTCCAAATACAGAAAAACATTGTTGCTTACAGTAGGGATCAAGGACAGCCCGCACATCTATGCTGTCTTAACACTGTTGGCTATCTTCAATTTTTCATCTTGATATCTCCAAAACTCATAATGGACAGTTCAAAGAACTGAAAAACTGAAAGTTGGAGAAGTCAATTAAAAAGAAAACCTTAGGTCAAATAGTTCACATTCTCAATTACACTAATTTCCTGTAGTTATAGTAAAGTAAGTTGATCTTCCTTCTGTCAGTATGTATTCCATTGCTAATGGCGGGCATGAAAAAGGGAATTTAAGATGTAGTTCTGAAAATTGTGACCTGTTAGCTACAAATATGGAAAAAAATCATGATGTGATTTGATAAAAATAGAAATTTACTAAAATCAAAAAGGTTAAGATTTGCATTTTCATTTGGTTTGGTTCGATTTGGTTTTATGGCACACTCACACAATTCAGGTCATTTTGCGCCGAATAGGAAAGATGATTTTGACTAACCCCGGGTGTTACGAACTTAATGTAACACCAGAGTTCAAAACAACCTCACCTGCTGTAGCTAAGAGATGCATTGACTCCAGTAATTCAATCCGATTTAGTCGCCTCTCACGCTTACGCAGGGTTAACGGTGGCTGCAACCTTAAATGCAAACCCTCAGTCACGGGCATATTTTAAAAGTCATCTTGTACCGTTTAAATAACGAACGTTTTAGAACAGAAAAGAAGCAGTAAGATATTATATTCAATAATATCGACCATTAGAAATTTTAGAACTTTTCTTGGTTCATATTCAACATGCATGACATGTCCAAACATCATTCTTTTATATCATGTTTAACTTTTTTAAAACTAACAAAAAGTTTTTGTATATTGTACAATTTACTAAAAAATGTAAATGTTTTAAGATTTGTACAAATATTACATTACCTGCTTGTAAATGTTTGTTATCGTCATCGTACATTTCCACATAAAATATACTAATTAGTCAACTAATAGAAAATCATTGCAGTCAAGTTATTCATTCTGATACATCCCGAATGAACAAGAATGTCAAAAATTTATCAAAAACATTATGTCTTAGATTTACTCAATGGGAAGATGCTGGAAAAGACAAAGAGGTTGAAGACAAATTTTAATGAATGGCTTATTAGTCAATGTTTTGCTCTTTCTCCAATTTCAGATTGTACCATTTAAAACCGCTTTTCGCTTTCATCGAAATTAGATTTTACGTCTCAAATCATCTATATCCCCTCACAACATGCTTTTACTGACAGAAATTTTATCTTCAGATACATTTAAAACTATTTTGTATTATTATGCATTTTATCAAGTAAACTGCAACAAATTTGATGCAAGTATTCTGTTGCACCGGTCCGGGCGTTCTATGAGGTTTCCATTTTCTATTTAAATGCGTGTCCCAGTTGTTTCTTCTGTTACTTTTATTGTTTTAATGTTATAACATGCTTTTGCAATTCAGTAGTACGAATGTTTATGCTACTGTTCGGGTATTACTTCCCGATAACTCATTGCAATCCGATAGGTCATTCAATACCAAAACAAACCATCTATCAAACGAAAAAGTACAACGGTTTTTACACGTTGCTTTTGATCTGCATATGTTGAATTCTCACGTTAATTTATTAATTTCTAGTGATTAAAACTTATTTTAATTAAAAAAAGTTATATATTTATTTTCAGAAGAATATGTTCAATCGAATGCACGAAATGTTTGAATGGTAACTTAAAAAGGTAATAATAATTGTTTTAATTTGGTTATGTGAGATCATTTATAAAGCTCTAATTTCCTGGAAAATACTTATTCATCAATCTCTTATGTTGTTCAAAAAGATGTCCCATTCTTTTGATAACGTATACATTTCAAAAATTATCTTGTTAATTTTCACAAAGCCGTTCTTTTCATAACATTACATTTTCTCAGAGTAAGCACATTTCGTTGTTCGAAACAATTGTTCGGGGTTCGTAATGCCTTTTTCTGGATTCCGCCGAACGTTCTGTTGATATGCCAAGTATTTTACAGAAAATTTGTTTTTATCTCCTTTTCGTGTTGCATCATACCAAATTATTTTTATACATAATTATACATAGTATAAGTAGTAACTATTGTTTTCTAAAATTAAACTTAATCGTTTAGAGCACAATATTTCAATCTTTTATTATACCAGTATGTGTTTTTTTCTATGAATTCTTAACGGTTCATGATAATACCTAACGACATTTTGTTTGCACATCAGTAATAATTGTTTTATACTTACAGTGAAGAAAAGAAAATGGTGAGCGAAGAACAGGAAATAGGCCCAAATTGTACAAAAGGTATTATTATTGTAACAAATGGATTAAAAATATTTTAACATGATTGTTGTCTTTTTCAAAGACAGATTTCTTAAAATCAAATTGCTTTGTTCATCATGCAAAATAAAAAGAAAACATTTCAAAATATTTTTTCCTAATAGTATCATGCCACATGTGCGTTCAAATTATTTTCTGCAACTGCACAAGTTGTGCAAAATATGGAAGTCAAAAATGCAATATCCAATTGTGTGATACTTTTGTAAAAAAGATGCTTGTTGTTTGAAACAAATGTCTCCCGGATCTGGGTTCAGTAAAGGGAGCAGGACTTTTTACTTACAAAAAAAAAAACGGATGATTACAAGACTTAAGAAACATTAACAACAAACGCTTTCTTATACTGTCTGATTTTTTTCCCTAATGAATCCGTGAAGAAATCACAAAGATATTTCCAGACACAACCATCAATCTTTTATTTTGACATCTATTTAAAGTTTTCATCATTCTACCTCTGAGCGATAATTTCAAAATGCATTCATAAAAGACAGAATTGATGATCTAACACGACAATCAATGCACTATCATATCATGACTTTTGACATTTAATTTGACTTTTGGGCTGCTAAACTGCATGTCCTCTTCATACGCCGACTATCTATGGAAATAGTTATTAATCCATCCACGAATAACATAGCTATGCCTGGAACACGACCATCTATCTATTCATAATGAAGAGTGTAACATTGATCTATTTGCTGGAGACCAAAAACAATTAAGCACGACACGTTGTCTTAACATTTAAATTAATCAATGACTGACAAGATTATTGACTAGACATCAAACCATTTTTAACATTTAAGTAAAGTATACGAACTTAAGTTTTACCGTGGGGTTTTTCGTTTAAAATCCTTATTTATGAACAATATTTGATGAGATTTATAACAATACTGTTAAATTGGTTAATGAAACTGTAGAATGTTTGATTTTTAGGCCGACGGCAAAATATTGTTACAAATTTATTTAATGTTAGTTTAATGTTGAGCTTTTAGCTTTAAAATGTTATTATTATGTGACTTATTTCATTTTATTGTAGGTTATTTTCTCTTTTTTATTATAGAATGCTTTTACTATGATAAAATAAACGTAATAAACGTTATTTAAAGAAGATTTGTTGAAATAAATGGAAAAATTATATGAGATTTATGCACAATTGAATGTTTTTATATTTTATCGCTTATCTTGCAGTTGAGAAGAGTGGAAAAATACAGGAAATGCAAAACACCATACAGGTACCGTAATTTTAATTTTGTGTTGACGCTTTACTCCCTTAAGTCCCCACTATTAATTTTAGCGTCAGCTTATATATATATTTCTTTGATTTTATCCTGAAAATCTACAATTTTATATGACATAACCTTATATAAAAGTTGCTTTACTTTCCACAGCCCTATCTATTATCATTGAACCCAGTTGACTTAAACCTAATTTTATACCTTTAGTTATATTTCTTAGAACCTCGTTACCAGACTGGAAATAACGACAAGAGAAAATGAAGAGTTGAAACGTAGATGCAACAAGGTCATACGTAAGCAATATTTATTAATAAACCCATTTAGCTCCCAAGAAATGCTTTAACTTTATTCTTCAAAATGTTTCAAGTTTTGATGTACTTGTGATAGTTTCCACTTAGTGGCCTTATAGCTGAATCATTGTTTGCTTCTGATGCGTGTTAGAAATATGTTTAGTTAAAGTGGCTTAGTATTATGTATTAAAGTCAAGATAGTGTGGCGGCGCGGCCGAGTGGTTAACGCGTCGGGCTAGTAATCTAAGGATTGCTGACTTCGTGGGTTCAAACCATGTCAGGGACAAGCCGTTGTTTCCTTGAGCAAGAAACTTAACATTTATTGCTTAGAACAGGTTGGTTCCAGGAATGGATTCGAGAGTGTTTCAATAAGCTTATAGCTCCCAACACAATCGAACTAAAATAAATTTGAATGATACCACTTTGTTTACACCTTTCTACCTTTGATGACAAATTAATTCATTTCCAGTGGTACTTACACCAGGTAATAAGCATCCAACGTCCGTTATCTAAATCACTACAAAACACAATGTCTTCAAATCTGATGATTAACGTGGTTGTAAGAAAAAACGTTTGAAACTTCGCAAGTGTGGTATGAAAATTCATGAACATATTTACTGTTGAGCTAAATTATTGTTGTGGTTTGTTTTCGTTTTTGTTTTACTTATATAAACATAATTATCAAGTACATTGCTCTCAATTATACAAACATAAATGTAATACACATACTATGGTTTTCTTTACGTGCTTGTTATCATTCTCCTCTGCTAAAAATTATAACATAACAAGCATACCGGTTTGATTAAAATATTATTAAAATCATGTTAGGTAAAATCTAAGGTATAAATCCTCCGTGACTGAGTGATTAATATCGCTAACTTCTCGAGGCTCTTGTCTCTTGCCAATTTAGGTTCGAATCCCGCTAGGGACTTTTGATTCTGTCACTTGAGGAAGCTATCTAGCCATTTAGGTACCAGCTCATGCCTGAAATTATGCACGATGGGACACCTTCAATCTTCCTAGACAACTAAAGCCAGAAAGCCGACATATGACTTTTAAAAAGTGTCACTGTCACTTAAAATCCAACCGTAATATACAAATCTTTATATGTTATGCTATCAATATGATAATTGTTTTACAGATAACAACTGCTCTGAAGACGAATTCAAATGTGAATCGTCAGACTATTGTATACCACTCAACTATAAGTGTAATGGAAAAGCAGATTGTGCCGACGGATCCGACGAAAGCGTCAAAAACTGCAATATATGTATGAATTAACAATTTGTTATTTTAGATAAATGTTGCAATGTTCTTTTTTACGTTCTTTGTAACCAAAATTTTATCATAAACGTTCATCTTTTTTTCATTTTGCTAAAGAATATTGTTATACAAATCAGAAATCAGAAGTTGTTGTGTTTTTTAATAAGATTTGGAACGATGGTGATTATTTTGTATATTTTAAAGAACATTGAAATATTTGTATACCTGGTCATGTATACGTAAATAGTGTATTGTTAAATTTGAAAGGTGACCTGGTATGTAAAATGTTTATAAGTACAAATAATTTGTTGGGCACATTTTTACATATCATACCTAAAAGACAACACTCATAATTCAATGTTTAAATCGTCACGTGAAATTAAAATATTACTTAGGAACTTACATTACACACAAAGAAATAGCGATGTTTTGTTACAAAGTTAAACTAAAAATATTTGTTTTCGTCTGGTTTTACGGCGTACCAACTCAATTTAGGTCATTTGGCGTTGAAACAGGAATCTTGGGTGTTACAAACTTAAATCATTTTTTTTTTCAAACAGTTCTGCTCAATTGAACCTGTGGGTCAGGAGAGCTAAAAATAGATTTTTGAAATAAAATATTTAAAAACCGTCTTCTCTGAAAGTGCAAGGCGTAGCTCTTAGGTATTTTGTGTGTAAAATCATCTAATAAAACTCTACAAAAATTGTTCAAAGTAAAGCCCTGGGGTAAAAATTGGCCCCGCCCTGGAGGCCTATAATTTTCATTATATACATTATAGTAAAACCTTAAAAATCTTCTCCTCTGAAAGAACAAGTCCTAAAGCTTAGATATTTTGTATGTAGCATCATCTTATGAAACCCTAAAATAATGTTCAAATTAGAGCCCTCCGGTCAAAATTGGCATTGCCCCAGGGTTCAATTATTTTCTTAACATGCATAAAGTAAAGTAAGGCCAGTTTGTTTTTTTAGACACACAGCCCTTGAAATTTGGACTATGGGTGTAATTTCCGATGCCAAATTGAATTTTGATATCAGCAGACCTGCTTTTGACATTAATGATATCGTTTGACCTAGTTTCTTGTTTTATGCTCGACTATGCGCAGAATATAGAGAGCCGTCCTACTCGCCCAATCGTCGGCGTCCGCGCACCAATCCATGTGTTCCAATTTTTGAAGTGTTGGTGCATTACAATATTTTTAACTAAAACTTTTTCATTTCTTTAAGTATCAAATTCAAACTTCAAATATATGTTTGTTTTTTATAATCAACCACATCTTATGTGACAAGGTTCATAACTGTAACACCTATTTTTTCAGATTTATCTAACCTTGAACTTAGAATTTTCCTTACAAATATCATTTTTATACTGTAACTGCTTTATTTCTGAAGGGATAAACTTCATATTTCACATATATGTTCCTTATCGTTAGCCATATCTTATGTAACAAGGTTCATAACTCTAGCACCAGTATTTTAAGATTTTTCTCCCTTTGGACTTTTCCTTAAAAATCATTATTTTTTACTATTACGTCTTTATAAATTAAGGGATCAACTTCATACTTCAAATATTCAAATGACAAAGTTCATAACTCTAACACCAATATTGCAAGAATTTCCCTTCGAACTAAGATTGTTTTACTTGAAAAATATCTTTTATACCTTCTTTAGTTTTAAAGGTATCTTCTTCAAACTTCTTATCATCCACTACATTTTATGTTCATAACTCTTGTAGCAATATTTATAGATTTATCTCCTCTTTAACTTAAAATATTCTTTAAAAAGAATTAATCAAGATTAATTAAAATTAATTATAAAGAATCTTTAACTTCTTTATTTTTTAAGGTATCTACTTCAAGCTTCAAAAATATATTGCTTATCATTACCCACATGTTGTGTGACAAACTCTAGCGTGACTACTTCCAGAATTATTCCCACCTGAACTTGGAATATATGTTAACAAATTGTTTTTTTACTATTACTTTTTGTTATATGGATAAGAGTTATAAAACGTAAGGTTCTGTATTCGCAGAAATATCTCCATTTCATATTTGAACTTAGAATTCATTTGTTAATTGATATTTTTAGTATTATCTTTGTTATTATAAATGGTATCTACTCTAGATTTTAGATAATTTATTGCTTTTTCTCATTACTCGCATCATGTATGACAACGTTCATAACTCTAGCATCTTTTTTCAAGAGCTATTTCCTCTCTGAACTGATAATTTTACTTTAAAAACTTCAATCGTTTTTTTGCTCTTATCATTTTTGTCTTTGAAAGGATTGACTTCAGATTTCAAATTGCTGTCTTTTCCATATAAGCACAGACATTTCTTTATGTTGTGTAAAAATATAGAACTTTTGAGTGCTTTCTTGATACTGATACAGAAAGATTTTTTTTAAACCATTGAGTTTTCTTTCATAGTTTTGTCAAGTATTTAATTATTTGAGCTTCCCTGTCTCCTGTGACAGCTCTTGTTTAATTTACAGACTTGAAATTTGGACAAGTTTGTAATCTCTGATGCTGAACTGAATTGTGATATCAACTGGCCTACTTTATATATTTCTGATATCTCTTGACCTACTTTTTGTTTTATGACATATAGCCTTCAAATGTAGATTATAAGTGTAATTTATGTTGCCAAATTGAACTTGATAACAAATGTCCTACTTTTGAAATCATTGATATTATTTGACTTATTTTTTGACAAACAGACTTGAAATTTGGACCAGGGGGGGTGTAATTTTGATGGGGAATTGAATTTCGATATCAGCTGACCTTCTTGTGATAGCTTTGAAATGGCTTGACCGACTTTCTTGTTTTTCTGTACATGCAGACTTGAAATTTGGATCAAGAGTGTAATTTTTGTTGCCAAATCGAATACTGAATAATGAAATTGAACCTTCATGATCAGATGAGCGATATAAGGCCATCATGACGATCTAGTTTATCAAATCATCATCAAGTTTAACATTAAATTGATACAATGCTCAACTTTTTATTGTTATTTAGGTGAACATTTTTTTTTCATTAAGTTTGTAAGATCTAATTATATATTTAATGTAAATTGTTAAATATTTTATGAGTTGTAATTATTGACTTGCAGCAACTGAATCTAAATATGCGACCAGTGCAGACCAAGATCACTGTTCCCTATTCAGTCAGTTCTTATTTTGAAATTTCCCATATAAATTATGAATGGTTTTTGTCCAGATGCAAACATGCACAAGTCCATTTTATATATAGGGTGGTAAAGGTAAAAAACCTGCAGGGGAATTGAGTTTGAACAATGTTAAATTACAACAAATAAAAGTTTTAAGTTTGCATTGTTAGCTCATGTGACTACGAAGTGGTCAAGGTAAGGTAAAGTGATGGGGCTATGTCCGGTGTCCGTCGTTGTGTGTCGTGCGTCGTTCGTCGTCAACAATTTTATTGTTAACAGTCTAGCAGTCACAGTTTTGATTGGATCATCATCAAACTTTGTCAGAATGTTTGTCTCAATAAAATACAGATCGAGTTTGAAGATGGGTTATCTAGGGTCAAAAACTAGGTCACAGGAGCTAAAAATAGAAAAAGCTTGTTAACACTCTAGTGGCTGCAGTTTCGATCAAAATGTCCTGGAAATTTGTCAAGAAGATTGTTTTGATGATTTCTAGGTCTGGTTTGAAGATGGGTCATCTCCGGTCAAAAACTAGGTCACAGGAGCTAAAAATAAAAAAGCGTGTTAACACTCTAGTGGCTGCAGTTTTGATAAAAATATTCTGGAAATTTGTCAGGAAAGGTTGTTTTGATGATTTCTAGGTCAAGTTCGAAGATTGGTCATCTCCGGTCAAAAACTAGGTAACAGGAGCTAAATATGGAAAAATCTTGTTAACAGTCTAGTGGCTGCAGTTTTGATCCAGCAATTCTGGAAATTCGTCAAAAAGGTTGTTTTGATGATTTCTACGTCAAGTTCGAAGATGATCATCTCCGGTCAAAAACAAGGTCGCAGGAGCTAAAAATACAAAAAGCTTGTTAACACTATATAGTGGCTGCAGTTTTGATCCCAAATTTTTGGAAATTTGTCAGAAAGGTTGTTTTGATGCTTTCTAGGTCAAGTTCGAAGATAGGTCATCTCCGGTCAAAAGTTAGGTCACAGGAGCTAAAAATAGAAAAAGCTTGTTATCACTCTAGTGGCTGCAGTTTTGATTCAAATATTCTGTCAATTTGTCAAGAAGGTTGTTTTGATGATTTCTAGGTCAAGTTCGGAGATGAGTCATCTCCGGTGAAAAACTAGGTCACAGAAGCTAAAATAGATAAAGCTTGTTAACACTCTAGTGGCTGCAGTTTTGATCCAAATTTCCTTGAAATCAGTTAGAAAGGTTGTTTTGATGACTTTTAGGTCAAGTTTGAATATGGATCGTCTCCGGTCAAAAACTTAGTCACACTGCACAAATATGGAAAAACCTTTTTAACACATTTTTGTCTCAATTGTCATCAAACTTGGCCAGGATGCTTGACTAAGACATTGTTTGGATGCGGTTGATGGGTCAGGGGAGCGATCTAGGGGCATCATGGCCGTCTTGTTTGTTAAACGATAGGGTTTGAAGATTTGAATTTCGAGGAAAAATATGAGTGCTTTTCGAAAAGAAATCGTCCTCTTTTAGCCATATTACAAATGTTAAAAAAAGCATCTTCAATATTGGTAGTAATTAAGAATGTGGACAAGGGGAGCGATCACCAATTTGCCTCTTGCCAAGCCATTCTAACCATGTGTGCCCAAATGACAGTTGTTAGTTTTAGAAAGCTGACTCAAGATTGGTTCCATTAAGCCGAAAGTCTTATAAATGATGGAATTTTCAATCCTTCACATTGATGATATTCTGCCTTAAATATTTACTACTTGTGTTTTATATAATTATGTTCAATTTTTTTTAGTGCGGTTGAGCAATTCTATCCACAACAACTATGGAATTCTTGAGATCTACTTAGAACGAGCATGGATGGCAGTGTGCGATGACAGTTTTACCAATATTGATGCTATTGTGGCATGCCGCCAGCTGAACTTTAACGATGGCAGGCTCCAAAAAGGTAATTTTAAAGTGTATTTACATATATGACATTGTATAATATAACACAAACAATAGAAACTGAGTTCTTGTATTAAAAGAAGGGGAAGACTTGCTGAATTTGCTAGACCTAAAAGGCTAAATCAAAATTCGTACAAGTCAAAAGAACGCCTTGTTTTGTTTATTGTTTTATAGAACATCTTCTAATAACGGCTGCAACGTATGAGTGCTCACATACATGTATCTAGGTCACTTAGAATAGTTCAAACCTGTGTCAGGAAATTAATTCTTTAACTGGGTGATCAAGAGAACTGTGGTGTTTATAGGGGATGATAATGAGTTTTAGAATTTGACGATTTTTCCAATGTACGAGGGTTGTTCGGGAAGTTCTGAGATTTGTAGTCTGGTTGGCGAAAATATAAATATATACGCAATTAATTCAATATATACTGTACAGTATCTGAAAATATCATCATCATACACACAGAAACTAAAACATAATAAAAATAGTAAATAACCATATAACAAACACCCGGAGCACGCCGACGTCATTTGCAACGTTATGCGACGTTAAAGTCCATCGATCGTCGCACCTTTTCAACGTAGTCACCTGCAATTTCGATGCATTTCCTGTGTCGGCTGATTCACTTATTGTATGTTTCCACGTACCAGCTATCGGTAAAGGACGAGACTATAGCTTGCGTATGCTTAACAAGATCGTCAGCTGAGTCAAAGCGATTTCCACGCAGCTGTGATTTGAGCTCCGGGAACACACGGAAGTCCATCGGAGTGAGGTCCGGGCTGTATGGAGCGTTTCTTCCTTCTTTAAAACGAGCATGCCATCTATACACTGTAGCCGGACTGCATTTCTTGTATTTTCCTGTAGAATTTATCATTTTCATTGTTTCTGTGGAAGACTTTTCCAGCGCAACACAAAATTTCACGATGCTTCGCAATTCAACGTCACCTATCGACGTCATGTTGTTTACTCAGTGGCTCTGGGCAACAACTTTAAAACAATGTTGATCCGTTGAGAATTTAAATAACGTTATGATATTTTCAGGAAATGACGTCATGACGTTCCGCTGCTGACCAGCGTTTTTGCGCATTTTTTACGTTATCAAAATTACGAAATATTATTAGTGTAGCGCGTTATATCTTTCTTTAGAGTCGGACTGCTCCGGTGCGGCGTTATAGTGTTGCTATGGTTACTGCTATTTCCGGCTATTGTTGTCTGATTCTATTCAATTGTTAGGAATAGTTCCGTGATATGCTAATCTTAGTATGTGCAAAATATTACGTCTTAGAAACAAAAAATATAGGAGATTTGACAAAATTCCCAGAACATCCCGAACAACCCTCGTACAAGCGCATTTGTATTATGATATACATGTAATATATGGACATATTGTTTATTAATAACAGATTACAGCATTTTGCATCTAAAATTGAAACATAATGTGTCAGCTGTCTCAATAATAGAATATTCATTCACGGAGTTGTAATTCACATTAATGAAAACTGGCAATTTCCACCCTTATTTGTCCAGTAATCAGAATACTGGATGTCAGATCTTTTGTATAATGAAATATCGTTACCTTTTTAGGTTCAGCTCTCGGAATTAATGAAGCACCACTTAAAGCAGTGAAGTTCCAGTGTATCGGTACTGAATCTAGCATTAATAAATGCAATATGGCTGTGAGCAGCATCTGCCTCTCAAACAATTATGTCACCTTATTCTGCAGTAGGACAGTCATCATAGAAAAAGGTAAAAATTCTTATCATAAGCTTAGTCTTTTCGTTTCACAATAAAACCACCCCTATTAAAGCTCAATAGGAAGAGCAGCCTATAAATAATCAAGGGGTTTCAAATGAAGCAAAATTTCTTCGTGACAATTGATCAGGGACATAATATATATTACATATATATATACATGCATTGTTGAATAGTGCAACATTATGAAGAAATCCGGAAAACCAGACATACTGTATGCTTTTTACTGTGTTGATGTAACACAAACCAAAAATCTAATCTAATAAACTAATAAAGCCTGATTTCACAAAAAGACGATTTAGTATGTAGTCTAAAATAGCAGGAACACCTACATTTGTAATTTCACAAGGAGACGTATATTGTATGTAGTCTAAAATAGCATGAACACCTTATTTCACAAGGAAACATTTTTTGTATGTTGTCTAATTTCTAAAATAGTAGGAATAAAACTGGCATTTTGTTTTGATTATATTTTTTTATATTTATTCTATTAACATAACATAATGTAACTAATCCCTACGTATCTTTGCTAGACTTTCCGGAAATCCGAATAAAAGATGGTCAAAGTTCGGGTCTTTTAGAAGCTAATCAATACGGATTCTGGGGACCGATATGCGACGCTGGCTGGACCAATATGGAAGCTCATGCTGCGTGCCGACAACTCGGAAAAGCAGGTGGTTACGCTTATTACGCGATCACAGATTCTGACTATCCTATGGTGGTTGGAAGATTCAACTGTTCAGATGATGTAGATGCTCTTAATGAATGCGATTTCAAAGGATTTGGGGAATACCTTGGCTGTCATTACCCGATAACTAGAGGTTCCAGACGGGCAGCAGGCGTATTTTGCTATGATCACCAAGGTATGTAAATTTGCTTTTATGATCAGGAACTTGGATGGGGGAAACCTGAAGATCACTGATGTGGTATTATTTGATTCCCATATCGAATGGCTGAACAAATCATTAAAGAATTTTTAATTCTTCCATGTAAGAGAGCTATCTAGCCAGTATTCAGAAGGTCAATGGCTCATTACGGTGCATTTGAATAAGTTACAGAGAGGCATTTGAGAACTTATATCACTGGTAATGTCGAAATGTTACCATACGATCATAGTTGTGTCATTGTGTCTTTACCTGTAAACAAGAACATTGTTTTTATTAAATTTCTACCTTTCAAATGGCTGCTGTTCCCGATGTAGGACTGTCATGTCTATTCCTTAACTTAAATTTGGTACTTATTCAATAATATTCTTACGCTCAATTATGCCACTAATCATAAAAGTTGTTATTGTATTTTTTATAAAAAATTAGGGGCCAATGTTAATAGTTGTAAGTTATTCTGGGTAACTTTGTTCTTGAATCATTAAGGAAGTTACAAATTCAACATTTGACCTATTTATGTTGTTTAATGTCGTCATATCGAACAAAATAACAAGATCATTTTGTTCCTTCTTTCAGATGACTTACAATTTCGACTCTCCGATCGCTGGTATGGTAGAGTACAGGTTAAACACAATGGTGAATGGGGTCGCGTCTGCAACACTAACTGGGGCAACAAAGAAGCCAGTACCCTATGTAAACAGCTCGACTATATTGACGGACGGGCAGAAAACATTCCAAGCAAAAGTCATGAAATGATACGCATGGATAATGTAAATTGCAGCGGGACGGAGAGCTCTATATTAGAATGCAATCATCGCTCTAGCTGGACAGATTCTTTAGGACCATGTAACGATGCAAGAGCCATTTGCAATACAACAAGTATGTACATCATGTCAGAATGACTTTGATTGATTTGTTGTCTGTTTTTTATATTCTTTCTGTATCATGAATTCGTTAAATATCGTAGATTAAACGCTGCAAAGAAGATTTAAAACTGCCTAGAGCTTGTGCTTTTGATGAGCATTTTTGATGTTGATTCTTTAGTGTCATGTCATATAACAGTTATCTGTCTTTTTTGTTCGATCCTTTGTTCTGTAGGGGGGCTTCTTTTCAAACAAATTAAAAGCTACTAGACATGTATAAACAATATTGAAAAAAAATGCTTTCCACTTAGGTCTAAAAGCCTAGAAATATAAAAATTGATAGCAAATTGGGCATGGAAAAATATGAAAATTGGGAAATTTTACAGAAAAATATATGTTATCCAGAATTTCATTTAAAGTCGTTATTAAATGAATTTCTTAGATCCATTTGAGTAAAACCTTATAAACTTTCTTTTCATTTTATAAATAATAATTCGCATTTTTAAAAAAATAAGAGTGAGCAATTAATCTGAAAATTTGAACGTAAGTATTAACTATGAACCTTCAACAAATAGGATAAAAGACTGGAAGAAATATAAGTCCAGTCATGTCAAGAAAGACCTCAGTGGAGTCTTTTAAATAAAGTTTATTGTAACAAGGTTATCTTGCAATAGCTTTCACTGTTGTCCAACTTGATTAAAATAAAAAAGCAATAAGTTCACGTTATTATCATTAAAATGGTGTTGTGTGATTTTGTTTAGCTCACCTGTCACGAAGGTGAGCTTTTCTGATCACAATTGTCCGGCGTCCGCCCGTTTGTCGTCCGTCAGTAAGGTTTTACTTTAAACGACATCTCCTCATAAACACCAGGCCAATTTCATCAGGAAGAAAGAAAAATCAAAATCTTAAAAAGTTTTCTTTAAAAACAAAAACAAAAGAGCTGCAGCTTAGATATTTGTCATGAAACATCTTCTATTTAACATCTTTGTCTACCAAATTTGTTCAAATAAAAGCCTTGGGATCAAAATTGGCCACGCCCCGGGGATCATTGATTTGCCTTATATTTATATAGTACAATCTTTAAGAATCTTCTTTTAAGAAATCTAAATAGTTACGAGCTTAGATATGAAGCACAAAACATCTTTTAGTGAGTTTCTACCAAGTTTGTTCAAATCAAAGCCATGGGGTCAAAATTTCCCCGGCCCCGATATCATTGATTTTCCTAATCTGTATATAGTAAAAACTTAACAAAATCTTCTTAAAAAACCCCAATGTCGTAGAGCTTAGATATTAAACATGAAACATTTTCAAATGAGTGTCTACCACGTTTGTTCGAATAAGAGCCCTGGGGTAAAAATTTGTCACGCTCCAGGGGGTCGTTAATTTTCCTTATATGTACAATGTATATAAAAAACAAACAAAAAATCTTCTTTAAAAAAAACCCAAAAAGCTAGAGCTTAGATTTTAAACATGAGGCATTTTCTAGTGGATGTCTACCACATTTGTTCCAATTAATGTCCTGGGGTCAAAATTGGTCCTGTCCCAGGCGGTCATTGATTTTCCTTATATGTATATAGTAAAAACTTAAAAGTCTTCTTTAAAAAAAACCAAAGAGCTAGAGCTTAGATATTTAGCATGAAAAATCTTTTAATGGGTGTCTACCAAGTTTGTTCAAATAAAGTCCATGGGGTCAAAATTGGTCTCGTTCAAGGGGATTATTGATTTTCCTTATATGTATATTGTAAATCTTTTTATTATTTACATATCTTTTGGAACTGTTGTTTTCCCTCATCAATAGCAACCAGCAATGGTTTTACACATGCACTATATCAGATACAAATATGAACTTTATTATATCAGTTTAAGATTTATATATTATATCTGCTTTTGTTAATAGCTTACAATATTTCTTATTCCTTGTCATGAGGAGTTTCTATATTCAGGTGAGCAATTTCAGGGTCATAATGGCTTTCTTGGTTTTTTACTTGTTTGTGTCACGTTACGTACCGCATGAAATATTGGAGAATCCACGTGAAATTTCCTTCCAAAATGAATTCATCACCCTAGGCTACACAGAAAAACAAACTTTATTCGGCTGCTACAAACTTTGCGAGTTTTCATAATCGTTTTTTCCATTTGATGCAGCCGATATCAAAGTTCTTAAAATATCTGAATAACTGCACAAGAAAAATCTTTAAAAATCTTTTTTGCACGTAGCATGTTCTATCTGACCTTTCACAACTTTTTTCCAATTATGATCCTCGGGTCAAAACTGTTCTGCTTTCTGTTTAATGATATACAGCCCTGTGGCACAGTTTCAGATGACATAATATATGGCACTGAAGTTAAGGATTATTTGACATTCATTTTTACCAAATACTTTAAATTATTGTAATTCGAGCTATATATGTGTATATTTGGAGCATATACACAATATCAGATGCTAAATTAAATTTCATATATACTGACTTGTATCTGCAGTTGAGCAATCTAGGGCCACCCGCCCTGGGTGTCAATTGATTTATATACACTTATATACGAGTTTTCCTGTCCGGTCCGTATTTTTAACCAGTCGAAGGAAATTGGAACTACTTGGCAGAAATGTAAACCATAATGAGACAATGTGCAGAGTACAGGTTTGACCTTCCTGAGGTCAAGGTCACACTTTTCTTTAAGGTCATTTTCTATCAATTTTGAAATTTTGTGTCCGTCTTGTTTCCTTTAAGCCGAGCTTTGTTTCTTTTAAGCCAATGGCAGGCAATTAAATCTATTTGGCAGATCTATATAAAATATTATTTATATTACTGGGATAATATTCAGAAAGCAGTTTTGAACTACCTTCGGTCAAGGTCACACTCACTCATATAAAATCCGTATTTATTTCATGCTTTCCAGTGTTTTACGGTAATATATCAGATAATTATATTCTGATTAACTACTAGTGGAATTTATAAGATATCATTTTCACTGTAGCCGGACTTTATCTGAATGCGGATAAAAAGAATATCATAACTAAATGGAATAACAGGCAAAACTAAATGCAGTCATACGTAATTTTTGCTTCTTTAGGAAAAGGAAGTCGATGCCATCATAAATCATGTTAAAAATGTAACAAAATTAGAGAAATTTAACAGAACTATATTTCAAAATTGATGATGTGACGTCATGATATGATGACGTCACAAAGGATTATGCGTGACGTTACGCGGCAAAATCAATAAAAAATACTTAAAATCACTAAATAAAGCATGAAATAAAAAGAACATTTATTTGTTTTCGTGAACACTAGCTATTATATTTTCACTCATGGCTACGCCACTAGTGAAAATATTGCATCTGGTGTTCACTCAGTGAAATATATTTCAATCTTACATGCAAAAACAAATACGTTTCCTCCTAAAAAATAACTATGTACGTTACCACTTTTTGTCCAAAACTCAATTATTTTATGATGTTTCTTATCAAACTTTATATGTATTGTTAATATTTTTGTTTGTTAAGATTATTATTATTCAGAAGCTTTTAGGATTATATGATTTATTTATTTTGAAATAAGACAATCTTATTAATTTAAACTGATGTTACGAAATTTCTAAATTATGTTCAAAGGAAGAAATGCCAATATAATAAGTTTCAGAAAGTTTAGTCCATTACTACCACTGCATTTTTGAAGGGCTGAATTTAAAAAGCTTAAGATAAAGGGAAGTAATCACACATTTTAAATATGCCCAAAATTATTATATTTTTGTTAAAGCTTAGATATTTTGCATGAAGCATGCCTTGTTGACATCTACAGCATTTATATTAATCCTTATGTCAATATTGGCCCTGCTCCAGGGAACATAGATATAGAAAAATTATTTCATGTATGTATTGTTATTTAAAGTTACAATGCCCAGATCTCAGAAAAAAACCCAAATGCTTTCAACAATCATTACACTGATATTAAAAAAGGGTTGTGCCTATTGGGTCGGTGGGGGATTGGTTATACATTACTTTGTAAAAGTTGAATTATCAGTTTTTTACAAATAATGAACATAAGATGGATGTTTGTGTGATTAAACAAATTTGCATTCGGGCGTATATTTCTGCGCCTCCGCGGTGCTCGTGTATATTAAAAATCTTAATGTTGCATAATTCTACAACATCACGCATTTTGATCCTCGCTTATGCCAAACTTGTATCATAAACTTGTGGTGGTATTTTCTGTTTGGAACTAACTGCTTTGTAAATATGACTGATTTTAGTTATCAATATACTAAAATTTAATTGCCAAAAGTATACAGCCTGGTATAACAGGTCCATGGGATTTTGTACATACAAATGTCAAGCATGATTGTTGTTAGCTGTTCGTATCTTCACGCTTCGTACATGTTTTTCAATTAGCTGATTGTCTGATTTGGAAATTAATTAATATATTTAATAACGTAAGAATCCATTCTGATCCTGTGCAGCTTATTAGTCTACAATGATACTTGGTACTGATGGTAAAACAGGATATATATTATATAGAGAATAACATGCTACTGTCTTTTGATATCAATTTTATCAGGCGAGGCTGATATGGGCTAGAAAGGGCGAGGCTTGCAGAGCCCTTTCTGCACATATCAGCCGAGCCTGATAAAATTGATATCAAAAGACAGTAGCATGTTTTTCTATTTATCATGCAACACATAATAACTGTCAAAATAACAAAATAATCTACTTTTAAATAGCGAATTTTGTTAAAAAGAGGAATTTTTGATCAAAGAAATAATTCTTGAAAACAAATTCCACCGCCCCTGACAGTTAGAATTTGTAATTGGCGGCCATTTTTTCTTTCGACTCGGATAAAAGATACAACAGAATGTAGGCCTAATACGATAAAATTCTTACCTTTAATTTAAACATCGATCCAAAAATCCGCTTAGAATCACACAAACTAAACTTTACTGCAATTTTTGTCTTGAATTGTCAAATTCAAAAGTTCACGATAATTTCAATCAAAGAAAAGTCAAATCGGCAATCAAACACAAGCTACACAAACATGCGTCTTATTTTCTAAACGAAACAATTTGTTCACTTATTAAATAATAATCCGGCGAAATAAAGTAAACATTTACAAGTTCTCAAAGAAAATCGTCAGTCTGTGTGTTATATGATTACATGTATAGTATGACGTGAACATCGATGATGTCATTTGCAATATAGATTATGACGTCACTATATTTAGTTGGTGCTAAAATTATTCGCTATCTAATTTATTCGTAATTGAAATCCAAATAATAAATAAATAAATTTCGCATATTGATTCAAGACTTGTAAGGGTATGAGATTACATTGTAGAATTCACATGCTGATGAAAATGCTCGAATATAAGCAATTGAAAAAAAGTCCGTTAAAATGGGCGGGGCTAATTTTTGATATCAGGCTACTGACCTGATATCAAAAATAATTATCAGGCAAGTGTTATCGGGCAGTTACCATAGCAGTTGCATGATAAATAAAGATATTTGTTGAATTAAGTTTTGTTGGACAATCAGCAACCTTAATTGGCTAATGGCTTTTATTGTATATTTTTATATCTAGTTTATAATTTTACTCCATATTAGATTTTAAGACATTAACCTTTTGTATTATTTTCAAATTACAGTTTCTGTCTTTATGTCTTAGTTTTTTTAGTGGTGGAAACAAGCAAGACATACTTTCTTTTTTATTTTTTTTATTCTATATTTGATTCTCAGCTGGCATAACAGATTTTAGTGTTACATTTTTTGCATATATTTCTGTTCTTTGTCTTTTACTAAAGAAGTTTCTTTTCAGTATTTTATGTTTTTTTGTTCAGTTCTGTCTTTAAACAATGCATTTTGGAGAGAAGAATCTCTTCACTTTCTCTCTTGTTTAAGGTGAAATTAACCTTGTCTGTACTTTCCAATAATGCACTTTATATGCTGCTAACAAGCGAGCGTCCCGCATTGCGTATGACGCGCAGCCAACGTTTTTGACATGCAGAGAGGGTAATGGTGTGAACTAGCTCTTTTTCCCCAGTGTAGATCAAATCTTACTTTTACTGAATCCTTTTATATTTGTAAATGAAACTCTTTGAGTAGTTTAATCTGCCTATGGGTCTGGAAGATGTTTAATGCAAATGTTTGACAACTTATGAACATACTGTTACAGCTGTATTTTTACTATAGATTTTGGAAGTAGTCTCAAGCAGGGTCTTTCAAATAGAATGGTCTGGAGTCGGACCAATTTTACGAAAAAAGATGTCTCAATTAAATCACGTGATTAGGTTATCTGCCGATCGTCATCTGGCATAGTTCATCACCATTCAAAAATCAAATTATAAGATAATGTTTTGATAAATCTATCAAAAAATACTGAAAGCTAATCCTGGCTACATTACATTAATAAATTTTACTTTAAAAGGTAACAGTTTAATAGATTTGCAATGAAATTAGAAATTTCGTTTCCGGTGTCAAGGTAAAACAAATACTGCTCATATTTGAAAATAGGCCCAAGTTGTATAATTTATGAATTGTTCAATAGGAAAATAGAAATTGATTTTACAGAAAAATGTTATTTAATCGTATCATAATAGTTCCCGAAGTTATTTACAAATATTTGATGTTTAATTATGTGCATTTTCAAAATGAGTCCGTTTATCGGCAAATATCTGAACAAGCCAACTATGTTTGTCAACAGATATAGCGGAAATATTTATCATTTTTTCACAAGTTTAAATTTTTTTAAAGAACATCATGTCGTTAGAATTTTCATTTTTGCTCTTGTATTTGATATTCACCCTTTTCTTGAACACTAACCTAATTTGCGTATTGCAAACTATTCCGAGTTCTGCCAAGACATGTTTATTTGTAGCGAGAAGTGCGTTTCCGGACCATTCTTTTTGAAAGACCCTGTCTCAAGCTATATTATCAGAATTTTATCCATAAAACTGCACAAATGTTATATCACATTATCAGATTATCTTACATAATAATGCATATTATTGTCTTTTGATAAATGTTTATGTAATGATTTCTTTCAAGTAAATTTTTTGAAACCAAATAATTGTCATTCAAAAACGCAATGAAATTTGCCGAGTAGATTTAATGTGCTTGATTTTATTTGCAGCTTTTCTAATAAATGTATTATTTCAAAGTACTGTAATTAAACAAAAATGAATAACTTATATGCATGAACAGTAATAGAAGGCAACGTATGATTATTGTGAATATTTAACAGTACCTCTCAAACCGAGAAACTTGCGTGCAACAGCAAGAGGTCCAAATAAGATTAAAATAACATGGGACGCCCCTGAAGATTTCAAACAAATTATGAAGTACACACTCTACTACAATGACTCACGAAAACATACACATGGACAGGTGAAAATACTTCCACCGGCCACGAAATACATTCTGACGGAGCTCGTACCTGACACAATATATCATATACAACTTGCTGCATGGAGCGTCAGTGGTCTTGGAGCGCGTACTATTCTTGTGCAAGCCAAAACACCAGAAATTAGTAAGAATTGTCTATGTTTTGCTTTTATGTTACTATCATATTATGCATAAGACTTTCTACATAGAGTTTAGGTTTCTTTTTCCTTTTTAAAGATTTGTTTTAAAAACGTTTTAACAATATGTTCAATAATCAAAGGTAATATCAATGTATATAATTTCTTCTGATAAATTAATTCAAATGAATTTGAATACATCATTTTACTTTCTAAGAATATTTAAGAAACTGATCAGACGGAAACTCTATTAAGAGAATGACAAAAAGTATAAGTAGATGTTTGAAAACGTTGTTATGTGATAAAGCTCTTTCCTGATACAGACTGCATTCTTTATTCTTATATTTATCTTCTACAATCAAATCAATTTAACGAGGAGTATGTGCGTAAAAGTCTGATGTGGAAATGTAACTGTAGTAACAAAAAGAATAGATGATGACTAGATGGTTCATTTATACACATTAGGCCGATTGATGTTATTGCATTAAATATATAAATAAATTTCACTTTAATCACTTTTATCTAAACAATAAAATAGAGAAAAACAGAATCCCTAAAGAGAGTCCAACACAACTTTTCAACAAAATTGAAAATATTGCAGACTCGATCGAGCCTGTTTATGGACGGTACTGGAAAGTGCAAGTTACCCTCTACGCCCTCTAGCACCGGCTTAAGCAGAATTTAACATTTAACACAAAAATGGTGACATTTTGAATTAAGAAACATCCGCAGATGTGTTCATACAGCGGTTATCATGGAACCTTCAATGTGACACAGTAGTGCCATTCCATGAAAAGCGGCGTATGGTCCCCAATTAAAAGAATGCTTTTAAAAGAATAAGTTTTATGTATTATATACAATGTATTATAAATTTTAGTTTATGAGAACAATAATATATTTAAATATTTTTTATTCAAATGGTTTCATTGTGTTTGAACTCGGTTCTACATGTATATAGACCAATTTGGAATCAACTGCCTAGTTTTGCTTTTTTCTTGAATATTGTTTTGTGATTCAAACAATCGTTAATTATCAATCACTTACTAATCAATCATAATTGTCATCAATATATTTATATATACATATATTTTAGCCAGAATGGGATTTTAAATTTCATAGAAATATTCTGTGTGAGCAGTGTCACATGATATTTTTTTTATATTTGAACATTTTGGTTTAGTTTTAGACTTCTTTTACTAACACATATGTACTCATAATTCCATGGCTTGGACAAAATAACTTGAAGCAGAAAAAGCAAACTCATGTCAATTTAGGTTAAGTCAAGGTTACAATCACAAAGTGTCCTTGGCTAATTTGGGACACATTTCTAAGGAAACGTTTTTTTACTTTATGAAAAATAAACATGTGCTGTTTATATGGTTATAATGATAATATACATTAGTCTTTTTCTAGGATGAAGGTAAAATGAATGTTGAACTTCAGAATCTGTTATGAAAGTCAATTGTTGAACTTGATAACCTTAGGTGAAGTTCAAATGTTGTACTTGACAACCTGATTTGAAGGTCAAATGTTGAACTTGACAACCTGAGTTGAAGGTCAAATGTTGAACTTGACAACCTGAGTTGAAGGTCAAATGTTGAACTTGACAATCTGAGTTGAAGGTCAAATGTTGAACTTTACAATCTGACGTGAAGGTCAAATGTAGATCTTGACAACTCTTAAATGTCACTTTTCATATCTATGAAAATGGATTCAACAAGATTTACAGATTTACAAATGTACATTTTAGCACTTTTAAAAGAATATGATGTACTTAAAAAGAAATAGCCAGGTTGTATTTGGAATAAATTTGGGTAAAAACTTTCATGTTTTACCAAGTAAGCGTTCTGTCTTAAAAACAACTCTTCTTGAAAGAGATCCAAATTCACATTGTATTTTAGCATTTATTATCATTTCACTCATTCATTTTCATTTTTATTGTATATCTATTAATATTGTATTATTTACTTTGAATGACTTTCCATATTTAGTCACTTTTAATCACTTAAAACTAGTCAAAAATTGAATGTTATTTATCCTTGTTTTTTTATGTTTTGCATATTTTATTTTTTCTCATTTTCTTCAGTTTCATTATAACTATTGTTTCAACGCAGCAAAATTCAACACTTCTATTTATGTGAACCTTTTTTAAAGGTATCGTAAGATTTTTGACAGAAATCAGAATAGCCTTTTAATCATCTTAAATGAAAGTAAAGAAACTGCTTTATATGGGCGACTTTATGATCTTAGAGCCAGATTGACCAAGCTGGATATATGGACAGAATATAAGATCTGGGTACAGGCTTTCACCGCAGCAGGTGACAGCCCACATTCCTTTCCTATATACGTGAAACCCACGAGTCGGGCAGGTACACTGAGCAGATGCTGATGCCACATAATGTACCATTTTCTCCTAACCCGTTAAGATACTAACAAAAAACTGTATTGCAGCTTCATATTAAATTCAGCTTGTGAATGTTTTACTCAAATATTTACAGTAAACTTAAATTGGAATGGTCGCAAGCATTTTATAACTGGAATTTAGTCTTGAAAATGCAGTTTCGTCATAGAAATTTTAGCTGCACTTATTCGAACTAAAAAAATATTAACGTAGAAATTTGCTAACCTTCTAACCTTGACCTTTTATCCTAAATGATCCCCTTTGGAACATGAAATAATAATAATGATAATATAAGAAAACAACAAGTAATAGAGTCATTGTCATCACCATTAGTCATCAATATATTATTATCACTGTTGTTAATGAAGTGTATGGTGATATTTTTACCCAACCTTATAAATATTGCTATAATTAATGTTGTACATTTATACAAAATCTTCATTGGGCTTTAGAATCAAATCTGAAAAAAGGCAAAAAAGTTTTTAAAAATGTCTGACCTCTTTTCCATGTTCAATATCTTTATTTTTGCTATGTAGACTAGTTGCCTAGCAACAAGTTATAAAAGTTTTTTTTAATTGAAATCACAAAGTGATTCCAGCATCTCAAAACGTCACCACTTTGATGTTAGATATTGCATTCTGCCGTTTTTTGCATATTGTAAAGATAAAAATATCAAATAAAGATGATGTCTTGTGGTGTTGTGGTCTGTACCTTAAAATCAATGTTACTTAACAAGTCCAGAATAGGCTTAATATTTTACAATTTGATGTTTACATCAACCATACAACAGTTACATACCTTGTTTGTAAAACAAGTACCCTGACAAAAACACTGTACTCCACTCTCAACTGTCACACTGTGATTAACTACTGTGTTGTAATGTTAAATTGGTCATATTAATGCAAGATGTTAATTAGAAGTAAAATGGCAGTTGTAGACCAGCAATTACAATGCTTTTTCGGGCGTGTCAAAACCGACAATTGTAGCGCTAAGAAATACCAAAATACAACATCAACAGCCGAACAATCCACAATGTCATACAACCAGTACAAAGTACAAACCCTATACCTACCTCAACATACTACCATTTATACGGGAGTGGAACCCTATATTGATCTCAAAATTGAGCATAGGTAAAAAAATATGTGTGAATTTCCGCTGTCCAGATGTGCAGTATATCTCGATATGTGAATGACAATAGATCAATCACAGGGTAAGGTTTCAACATTTTAAACATTTATATAAAATTAAATGATTTTTTAAGAAATTCTAAATGTGATTCTACCCTTCTTGCTTTCCTCTATCTTTACCTATTTTTGTTTGGATTTTTATAAGGTCTTCATTGAGACATTCTATCCGTCGTGGGATCAGGTGATATAGAAAAGCATCTACAAAACTACGGATTACTTTCATTTAGTAATTGGAAAGTCAATTTAAAGGAACAATTAAAGTTCCGTATTTTTGACTGAAATCACATTATTCCGTAAGTTAAGAAATTATATATCACTTCCTCAACAGACTAAATAACTATCTGGTGCTAGCAATATAAATAAATACTAAAAATGTAAAAAAAAAATACCGAGTATTTGAAAAAATTGTCACAGAGTAAATACTAATGGTATGCTAAATTATTTTCCATTGGGTAAACGTAACTTGGACAAGATTAAGCAGTTGATATATGTAAAGATATTGTTACATATAATTCTTCCCTAAATTATTTTAATTCGTATATTACTTCACTTCCAGATTCCGTAAGTGTATTAAATAGACTTTCACTCACAGGCACAAGTATTTTCTTATTGATTGTCATGCAGTGAACTGCAAGTAAACTTCTTCATTAAATTTGTTCTCAAAAATAATATTATACTCGAGATCATTTCTAGTAAACAACGCAAAATCAAATAAATATGACAATGGTAAATGAGGAACGGTGAACATAATTTCGGCAGCAAACTATTTTTATTGTAACATAATCATTAGTGTTTATATAATCAACACCGGTAAGATATACTTTTATTTGTAGTAATTTATAGTAACACGGGAAGCCGAATAAAAGTAACGTGTAATTCTAGTCGATATTCTGTTTCCGTTTTAGTTTGATTTTTTGTAAGTGGTATTCACATAATATTTCACAAAACAAAGGTACTCTATGACGACAATGATCCATGCCAACTACTAATACATGTTTACTGTAGTAAGGAGTGGAATAATTTAAAATAATTTCAATGAAACAAATGACAAGCATTTTTTACTTCCTCAAACCTCATTTTAACCGTTATTAACATAAGTGACAATAAAGAAGCTCCCATATGTGTACATTTGAAAAAGTCACTTACTTACAAACATAGCTGTAACCATGCTTTTATTAATATACTAAATGTCTTTTATCTTTTTATGGTTATCCAAGGTCGACTTTGGACAATGTGTCTATATCAAAAATTAGTTTTTATTACAGAGTGATACACAGAATAATAATACATTTATTGTTTTATGGAAATGATACGTTATTATGTAAATGATTTCTATATCATGCCAATGGAAACTGTTATCAAACTGTAAGGGTATTAAACGACAAAAGCACTATTTCCACTAACTTCTCTTTTTGATGTAGCACATCTTGATGTTGATGGAAAAAAACTTTTTGAATCAATGGTTTTACCAATATTGACATATGGATGTGAAATCTGGGGTTTTCATAATAGACCAGACATAGAGCGCGTTTATCAAACAATATTTAGGAGTTCGTAATATTGTCGTTTATGGAGAATTTGGTAATTTTCAACAATCAGTCATTCGTAATATCAGAATAATAAAAGTTTGGTCTAGATTTAGGAAAACACCAGGTACACTTATGTATGAAATAATGTATTTAAAACACCAGAATGATTGGTTTGACAATGCCTGGACATACACCTATGGATCTCTTCAGCACATATGATGCTGATGTGGAATTTTGACAGGCAATTCCTTTATTTTGAGACCAACCTCAATAAATGTTTCAATAAGGGTTTGTTTTAACGTTAAGCATTGTTTGGTGGTAAGATTGTTTGAAAACTCTGTGTTTGGAGTCCGTTTAGCGACACTTTCTTTATACGCATTGCATATTTTGGGCACACCAGAACCCACGGCGGAAAGAATATCTCGATGAAGACTGCATAAAGATCCAAACCATAATGAGTAATATAGAGAAAAGCCAGGAGAATAGATTGAATTTCAAATAAATGTTTAAAATGTTGAAAACTTACCCTGTGATTGACCAATTTTCTCCTTCACATATTGAGTTATGTGCACATCTGGAGCATAGTTTTTACCGATGCTCAATTTTGAGATCCATATTGGGTATCATCCCCGTGATTTACAACAACTCAACTGAAGTTGAACACGGCGGCTTCTTCCGCAATTCTAGACCATGTGACCACAAGCAATTAAAATGCAAGCTCTGATTGGACGAGACAAAACGAAAGAGCTAATCAACAGTAAGGAAAGTCCGTTGAAAATATTGATAACAGTACAATTTAACAAACTTTTAAGACCCACCACGTCGCATTAAATAAATGACTAAAAGACCCATCACGTTTAAAAAAAAGTTAAATAATAAAAAGTTAAGAATATGATAACTTTACCTGTATATGTATGATAATGACATTATAAATGTTGATATATTGTTACTGTTAAATTACAGACAATGGATCCTCAGTTATGCTTGCCAGTTTAGAATTTAATTTTACATTTATCCTGCTAAAATTGTTATCTGAAATGGTGACTAGCATATATGTAGAAACATATGTGAGGATATAAACAAAACTATAAAATTAAGGCATTTTGATTTGGAAAACAACAGCAACAAAACACAATCAAAAAAATTTTGATGTTCATATAAATATAACATAAAACATTTACAACTTTTTATTAAAAAATTACATCTTGAAAGAATGAAGGCATATGTAATCTAAATGTTTAATCTTTCAATAATAACAGGTATAAGAGATACATCTTAAATTAAAATCAAACTTTACAATATATTTATATGAACATCAACATTTTTTTATTACTAAGTGTTAGGCTTGTAACAAATGCCATGTGCTCCGTTAAATTGCGTTATATGAAGATTATTTTAGAATATCTTTGCTCTCTACATATCTAGAAAGTCTGAATTGAGGAACCATCAAGTTTTAAAGAAAGATTTTCATGATATAGAGTTGTTATTTTAAATGAAATATTTGTGTGACTAACATTCACAATTCTTTTGCTGTCAAATGTCCACCCAATAACTAATTCTGAGCTATTCAAATTCATGAGAGGCTCCACTGTTTTTCAGTGTATTTTTCCTTGTTTCAGAAAATAAAGAGAAAGAGGGAATATATTTGACAATAAACTAAATTTTAATATATGAAGAGATGAATTGTTTTTGTTTGAATATACTTGACAATGAACCAAATTTTATTATACGAAGAGATGAAATGTTTTTGTTTGAATATACTGACAATGAACCAAATTTTAATATATGAAGAGATGAATTGTTTTTGTTTGAATATACTTGACAATGAACCAAATTTTAATATATGAAGAGATGAATTGTTTTTGTTTGAATATACTTGACAATGAACCAAATTTTATTATATGAAAAGATGAATTGTTATTGTTTGAATATACAAGTTTGACAATGAACCAAATTTTAATAATTTTAATATATGAAGAGATGAATTGTTATTGTTTGAATATACTTGACAATGAACCAAATTTTATTATATGAAGGGATGAATTGTTAATTTGTGTACTTTATTTATAAATGCAATAGAAAAAGTAAACCCAAGTGGAAGAAAAATGTTTTAATTTTTTTCCATATCGTTTTGCCATTATTTGATCAGATTACCATATTTCGTAAAAATTTAGGTTGAAATCCCAATTCTTTATTAACAGTTCCAAACAAGCCTAAACGCGTACTAGTGCTAGCTGTCAACTCTACGACTATTTATGTTGACTGGCAACCTCCAAAGGATCACAATGGAATGATTCGAGGTTATTACATCTATTATAATCAGGTAGTTGACTATGAGCCAATACCAGGCAATGAGAAAGTCCTAGACGTTGACGACGAAAATAAAAAAGAAGCTGTAATAACCGGTTTACTGCCAGACACTCGGTACCAGGTGACAGTCGCAGGATATACAAGACGTGGTGTTGGTATTAAAAGTCGCCCACAAATAATTCGTACAATGGGACCAGGTAAACATAAAGATTGTTAAATGCTATAGTGCTATGAATGACGATATATATAAATCTAAAACAAATCTGTATAGTAATTTTAATATTCATCTCGTCAAATCTTATATTTTAGAAAAAAATATCTACTATTTAAACACATTTTATTATTACGAGAACAGAATAAGACATTCCCTTAAAATTTAAACAACTGATTGTTAGTAGTTTAGCAATGACCTCATACACGCACCACTTTCCAAAAATATATTTCAATCCATAAAATGTTCAAGAGTTTTAATTAATTCAGTAACCAAAGATTAACTAGATCTGTTTGTGATATTAAAAAAAATAATGCTATTCAGACATAAATATAAATTCTTACTTCATGTAAGGTTTAATTTATAGTAATGTGTGTTGGCCATTATGTATGAATCAATTACATTACATGTCAAATTTATGTTTTCCATATGTTACTTTGACTATAAAACAAATAAGTGTAAAATCTTAAATAAGTCATGAAAATTATTTCCTATTTCTATCTTTATTGAATTAAAGGAAAATATGTGTTTCTCAAATTTTTATGTAGCGATTTTAGTTTGTTCCTTTAATTATAGATAATGCAGTAAGTTCATATTAATTCAAAATATATTTCCTATGTTTATTTGTATTAATTGTGAATTTATACCGGTAGGAAAAAATAGAAGAGATATATGTAAAAATATAATTGTGTTCATTTCTTTCAGTGCCCTCGGCACCACGAAAACTGAGGGCCCAACATGTCTGGAATGCAACTGCCAAGATATCCTGGTGGAAACCTGAATTTCCAAATGGAGTCATCAAGGGTTATAAATTGTACTGGGGACCTAAAGGACATGTGTATGAACATATTATTTTAGAAGAAACCGTTCATGCATGGTATTCCCCGCCACTAGGTAAAGTAGTAGTGAGCCTATTCAAAACTGTAAAAGTATCATATTGACACTTCATGTCCCATGTATTAAAATATAATGCACTTGAAGATAGCGTACTTATAGTTTTGATTTTGACTGTTTTCTTTCCTGGGAACTTTGGCATAATTTCAACGTTTTGTAATTGAATGTTGGTATTTTTGTCATTCGAAAAAAATGTGTTTGATGTATGAAGTTTTATGCATTCCTTAGATTTAAACTGAAGGCAATTTAAACCTAATTTCAAAAGATTGGAATCATTAAAAAATGGATAAGATATGAGTACTGTGTTCTCATTTTGACTTCAATCTGACAGGGAACACAAAACTAGACTGTACCTACGTATTGAAAATACATTTTGCTCATGTCTATTTCAACAAAAATTTCTTTTAAATCATTTTAAACAGAGTGCCTGATAAGTTCCATGGGTTTTATCAGCAATGATATTAGCCAAGAATCCCTTTTGTGATATGTCTTGATTGTGGAGTTTTCTGGGCCACTGCCAATGAAATGTAAATGAGTTTTTTCTATTCTTGGTCTGCTATGATACATATAATATTTAAAGTTTCTGAGACAAGCATGAAATACCAGTTATTATTCAATAAATATCAAGATCGCAAAAGGGAGAGGGGTTAAGTGTAGAATGAATATTACAGAAATGACCAACTCAATTTGCTATAATGAAAATTAAATGAAGAATTAAAAGGGGTAAAACGCTTTTTAATCAGATATGTATCGTTAAGGTGAGTCATAGAAATGGTATTTGATTAGGTATATCAGTCTTGTTGAATTATGTTCTCTTTTAAACACTTATCACCCTTAGAAACAGTATTTGTCAACTATCAGTATAATTGCCATCGGATTTTATTCAAAATTCTTCTGTGAAATATGCAGAATTTAAAAGATTTTTGTCATGTATAAACTATACAATGAACGATACAATTCATGTTATTAAAATTTATTATTATTTTTAGATCGTGGTGCTCTGTATCAGTTCCGTGTTTATTCGAGGAATGAGATTGACTATGGAGAGCGGGCGGTGACTGAACTTGTTATCCCTGATTAAGGTAAAGTATCTTTCTACATCGTAAAATGTAAAGAATGCTACATCATTTTATCAAGATGCTAAAAGATTTACATTGTTTTCACTCATTTGTTTATTCGTCCCATTTTTCAAAGAAAAACTGAATTAAAATAAATAAGATTTGAATTTTCTTCCTTTCAAGCAATACTCCAATCATGTTCGTGTGTTAAATAATATCCCTTTGTAAGCAATTTGCGTTATCTCCATTTTTAAGCATTTTTGTATATATAAAAATGTGATAAAGTTGATAAAATAGAGAAAAACGGAATCCCTTAAGAACGCTTAAAGCTAAAGCTACCGTTCAAGTTTCAAGAATCTTATTTTCATAAATTGACTGTAAAAGAATGTGTACAATTTTTGTTTGATTTTCTATACATTTTAATTCCGAATATAATTTCAAATACTTATTTCATACAAGTTATTATAAATGTATATAATTCTTTGCAAAAGATTGTAAATTAAATGATGTTTTGACTGCAGCCCCACGTGACAATGATAATGTTTTATTGACCCTTAACCTGCTAAACTGAACTATCTTTGTCCTGGTTTGAATTTGGAAATTGGTATATTTTGTTTCAGTCTCAATATAAAGGGAACACAAATATAAAATGAAATTCCTCGAAATTTTGTTTTTACCAAAGATAAACTGAAAATCAATAGTAAAAAATAAGGCTTGTAAGACCTATCTCGATAAGTTATCGTCTCTTGAAAAAGAGACAAAACAAAATCAAGTCTAAAGACAGATAACTCAAACACGAGGTCGAAGACAACAATTATTCACTTACACTCTCTCAGACCATGCACACATTTAAATAGATTATATTAAACAGTTTTTACATCCTGCTCTGTATCTATTTGTTTCACTAGCATACGCCTTTCAGGAGTTTCAATATCAACACAAAAACTGATGCATCAACAGTATATAGCACTGTCAGGCAGCAAGACTGACCAGGCTCTTTACTAGGTGCAAAGTTTTATCACTTTTGGTTCAAGTCAGGGAAGGGTTAATATATCAATTTTAAAGCAACAATAGCAACAGCAATGTAATGTTTATTAGGATATAATCATTATTTACTACTGTTTGTATAATTGTTTCGTTAATGTGCCCCCACTTAAGGGGGTATTTAGATTAACCCTGTTCGTCCTTCCATCCGTCTTTCAATCCGTCCGTTCTCTTTTGTGTCGCACGTAGCTCAAAAAGTATTTGACCTAAAGTCATGAAACTTTACAGGATTATTAGTCAGCCTGTATATTTGTACATTTGGGTGTTGGCTTGAGGATTAATTCAGTATTTGTAGAGTTATATATTGCCATTGACTTAGTGAAATTTACAATTTTCAACTTGTGTCGCACGAAGAACAAAATGTAATTGACCTAGAGTCATGAATGGTGCTCAGCATGTTATGTTGTGCACCGGGGGTTTTGCTTGTTGATTTATTATGTTTTGTCAGAGTTGTGGCCCTTGACTTATTAAATATTTGCAATTTCCGACTGTCGCGTGTAGCTCAAACAATTTTGACTTAGGATCATGAAACTTTACAAGAATTTATGTTGCTCATGATATGAAGTTGTACAAATTACAATTTATGTTTCGCTTGAGTATTAACTTTGTTTTGTCAGAGTTATGGCCCCTGACTAAGTAAAAATTTGCTATTTTCAATTTTTGTCGTGCTTAGCTCAACAAGTATTTAACCTAGAGTTATGAAACTTATTAGGAATGTTGGTCAGCATGTGTAGTTGTACACCAGGGGTTTGCTTGTGGATTTATTTAGTAAGTGTAGTGTAGTGTAATTTCCCTGACTTAGTAAAAATTTAAATTTTTATCTTGTGTCACGCGTAGCTCAAACAACTTTTAATTATACACATGATTTTTTATAGGAATGTTGATAGACATGTGACATTGTGCACGTGGTGTTTTGCTTTGACTATGGGTTTTGGTTGTGGTTTTATTTCTAGATTTTTTTGCCCTTGAATTAGTATAAATGTGCAGTGTTTTAACTTGTGCCGTGTATATTTCAAAAAGTATTTGACCTAGAGTCATGAAACTTTGGTTGGCATATGTAGTTGTGGATCTGGGAGATTGATCGTGGATTTATTCAGTATTTGCATTGAGTTATTGCCCTTGCCTAAGTAAAAACCATTCCAAAATTTTCTGTTATGTGTACCTCCGGTGCTTGAGTTAGAATCAACCAAAATTACAGGCATGATGATCGACATCACTGTGAAGCAGGGTTTTGCATGTGGATTGTTTAATTTTGTTAGGGTTATTGCCTTTGACTTAGTTTAGATTATTGACTTGTTCATGCATAGCTCAACAAGTTTTTGACCTGTAGTCATGAAACTATACTAGAGTTTTGCTCAGCGTGTGTAGTCATGCACCTTGGGTTTGCTTGTGGATTTATTATTCAGTATTTATAGAGGTTTTGTCATTAACTTAATAAAAGATTGTCAGTTTTCAACTTTATCACGGGTAGCCCAAAATAATTTGACCTAGAGTCAGCAGATTGACACTACAGTTCCATTTAATGTACATATGTATTAATACCTATATATTTACTTTTAAGTTTTTTATATTAGGTGAAGAATACTTATGGTATTTTAAGAAACTTTTGTCTGTAACTTTAAATAGACTTTTTAAATGAACTTTTATTTTTTCACATATGTTTTAAATAAGCATGTATTTGTATTGATAGAATTATTTTATGTGTTGCTATGTAATTGTAATTGTAATTATTTGATGTATATATATATATATATATATATATATATATATATATATATATATATATATATATATATATATATATATATATATATATATATATATATATATATATATATATATATATATATATATTGGTGCCTTATATGTTTGTATGTTACCGGGAACGTTGACAGTAAATACTACCATATCAACGTTTACATTCTGTTAAAACATAAATAATAACATTCCAATCGAAATCAAAATCCTGCAAAATTTGGTGTTTTATTGGATTTTTACACCAGTCTAAGTCTGTAAAAGCATTCTATTTTGACAAGCTTTTGATGTTTAAATTCTTTCAAAGCAATTCTGCTCTTGACCTCTTTTACATCTTTTAGATTTGGCGTTCTTGAGAAATTAAAGATATTTTAAAAACAATCTAGATACAATTGTACTTGCTTTAAAACAGAGAAATCCTTTCAAAGTAAAGAAGGGCAAATACCAGGTACAAATTTGTGAGTTTTTATCGGGCAAAATAATTTGTTTAGTGTCTCTAAAATCCAAATCATACACGAATTTCATTTTGACTTGTAAGATACAGTGATATCTAGAGTGATATCTCGAAACCCGATGCATGCTTTTAAAAATGTATTATAGCATTTTGTACATAATTAGAGCATTTTGTACGTCCAAAATATAGAGGTTTTATGACATTTGTTTGTTTTCTAACAACTTATCTTGATCTGCTGTTATAGCATTGAAAATGTGTTCATATGTGATATTATTTGCAAAAGGAATTTGATAAGTAATTTAGTTTTCCTTACTTCCAATATCCTAACTACCAACATTTTCTATTGCAATGTCAGCACTCTCGTAAAGAATATCCAATCACAGAAATAGAGTCGATTACATTCCCTAGATTTGATCTTATCGCCTTGACATTTCTTTATTTTTATGACTTTAACATAATTTGTAACATTTAGTGTTTTTTTTGTGTAAACATATTCCATAATCTCTCTCTATCTTTAATCTTATCTTGGTTTTCTTAGAATTCTTAGAACTATTCTAGATTATTTGATACTTTATCGCTTTTGGAAATGTGTTTTAATTTTCTGTATCCAAACGACTGTCTGTAAATAGCTCTATCATTTACTATATTTGTTTATCAAACAGAAAAAAAACAGTTAGTTCTTGAAACAATATTTGATTTCATAACTTTCTTATAAAGTATTTCAATGACAACTGACTATTGTCTTGCTCTAGGTTTTAATTTTAAAAATCTTTTGAAAGAAGTGCTTATAAATTAGTTTAAAACTGTTTTAATTTCGTTTTGAGATTTAGAAAAAAAAGTATCATGTTTGACGAAGATTAAATCTTGAAAATTATATGAAGTAAGAAATATGCTTCAATGAATTTTATAAAATTTTGTGTGAGTATTTAATTGCGATGTAGCGTAGGAAAGTCTGTTTTTTGTTGTTTTTTTTTTAAAGAGTTTATACACAATAATATGCTTGTGACAATAAAGTCTATCCATGCGATCAATTCAGACCAAGATAAGCCAAAAAATCAGAACCGTTTGTTCGTATTTTGACTGTCCGCTTCTTTTCAGTCAGTACATACCTAAGCATGAGAAATTGTTTTGACAAATAAGTTAGCGCGGTAAGAACTAACACACATTAATATGCCGTGATGTCTCATATTTATGCACATATCGTCGCTTAGTTCAACACGGCTGCTCGATTTGTGTCTTGTGTCAGTATTGTTAAAGCTTTGATCGAATCTGTTTTTTTGTATAATTTTTGTTTATGGTAATAATGCATATGAATATGTAACAAATCAACAATAGTTATGAAATAGTATTGTATTGATGAGTACATGTCGTCCTTAATTGTAATACGACTCCGTTAAAGCTCATTTATAAATGCCTCTTCAATGTAAGCACCTATTTATTTTCTAAAAAAAAGTATTGGAATGTTGATTTAATAATATTTTATTTTATGTCAAAAGAGATACAGAAACTTCGTTAACCATAGCAATATTATTTTTTTTCGCAGATTCTAATCAAATAAAAAGTATTTAATACATGAATGTACTTAGTAATATCTGTATTTTTCTTAGATTTTTTTTATATTAATCATCTCTCCTTCATTCAGATGTTTCTTACCTACGATTTGAAAAAGTATAATCAAAGATGTTCTATTTTCGATCCTTGAAGATCGTTTAGCACAACATAATTGTTGTGTGTGTATATGTTTTTCCCTATTTAATTTATCTGTACCTTTCGAAATTTCTATAATTTCTATTTGCATATATCTGGGAGCATTTTGCAATGGCACGCGTGTTTAAACAAAAAGATATAATTCCAAATATTGTAAATGTTTTTTTAAGACTTACAGAGATAATATAGCTTTTTTTACATCAAAATTAAAGTTTGGTTTATTTTCAACATTGTATTCAATGATGTGGGATTCTATTTTATGCATGTGTTTTACTGTCAGATTTTAATCAAACTGTTGTTCAAAACGCCCGCAGATTACCGTGCCCGACAACGACGCAAATTTCCGCAAATGAAAACAACTACAGAATGTACAACCACAAAAACAACAACGCAAAAAACAACGCCAAGCACAATAACAATAATTAACAACAACTACGGCCATCCTATCTGCTACGATCGAATGGGAAACGAAATTTGCGGTTCTCGTAATCGAAAAAATCCTGATGCTTTAGATATAAGAACCTGTAGAGCATTGTATAACAGTTGGCATTGGAGACCTTTCGCCGTTGACTTGAAGAAAAGATCAATAAAGGACTATGCTATAAACAGCGGTTTGTTATGACTGGTCGAATCAAGTTGTAGTTGCACCTACATTGTGCACATAATATATAGAAAACTGCCTTAAATGATTACCAGATCAAAACTGCATTAACATTACAAGGATAAAGTAACTGATGATGAAAAAAATTATTATATAATGAAAGATGGACCTTTTAGGGACATAGATAATACAGTGAAAATATTTAACATTTAGTTTCTATGATTAGACAAGGATCATATTATAAAACCTACGCCTCAGGCAACTACGAGGGTAAGCCGCTCTGCAGCACTGTTTTGTATACCATTTTCATTAAGTCTTGCAAAAGTAAGCTGTTTAGCTTTGGTCAATATAGCAAGTTTTGAAAGTATTCCACAATTCTACAATATTTTCGGCTGAATTGTAGTGTATTGGGGAATATATGAAACGTTTCGAAAGTATGCTAGTATTGTGCATTATTTTTTACCGACACATTGTGTATTTTAGGCGTGAGGTGTTGTTTTTGTTTTGGTGAATATGTGACAGTTTTGAAAATATGTCTGAATTTTACATTACAAAAAAATGCTTTATTGAAAATGTGCTGACAGTTTGCAATATTTTGAGTGTTGCTTTTTTGTACTATTGAATGTTAGCTATGCTAAAAATGTATTTTTGCTTTTTTACGTACGTTAAAGAATATGATCAAACTTATGAAAATATGCAAAGAAAAATACGATTTCTGCTAGTATGTAGTAGTAAAGATATGAAAGCTTTTGACAAGGCTGCAATGTTTTTGAACATGTATCTATGCTTATGGTTTTATAAAAATAAAGATGTCAGAAAAAGCTAATGTTTGTTCGTACGTGTATAATTGATGGAATGAAACGATATGAATATAGTGCAAGAAAAAGCAAATCGTTGTTCAATTGAACATAATTATCTTTTAGGATAGACCTTTAAGTTGATCAGACAAATTTTGACCTTCATTCATAAATGTCCTTTACCTTCAAGGTAAAATATACAAATTTTGCTTGTTTCTTGCTTTAAGTGGCTATTTGTTTTTTTTGAATGGATTTTCTTCAAACTTGACTATAATAACGTCAATCGTTAAGGATAGCCCTCAACGTTAACCAGACAGACCTTGACTTTCACTTACATATGACCTTGATCTTGAAGAGATAGAGAGAGAAAGAGAGAGCGAGAGAGAGAGAGAGGCCGGGGTTGATTTGGTCTGAATAAAATATGTGTGCTGGTAAACAGTCTTTCTGACCCCAAAGGGAATAATTCATTAAAATTATAATAGAAGTAAAGTGTTTATTTATCGGATTGTAATTGCAAAATATTATTTAAAAAAAGGATCTAAATAAATTGACAAGTTACACAGGGAATGAAGCATCCCTAACATATTTGATGCATTATCTTATTCTGATTAGACATACTCATGTATTCAGTTAGAATTCTTAACATTTCATTAACGTTTTGCAATAAATGTATTTTATCCAAAGATGAGCTGATGTATCTAAAAAAGACAGAAATAGAACCACTTAAGAATGTTTCAAACCGCAAAATGTTTGCAGGGTCAATTTGATCGAGCATGTTCATGGACAGTACTGAAAAGTGAAAGCTACTGTATTAAAATTGTTTTACAAACTTATAGTGCGAACATAACCATTTTAATGTCTCTGTAGTTTGCACATAAACGTGCATATAAATACTTTATAAAAGACATATGACAAACACCGAAACATCTCCTTTATCCGTAATGAATTATTTTGTATACGCCCGAAAAAGGTTCTGTAAGTAGTGTTCGTGTCCGGTCTGTATCATTTGAACCGGTGTAATGAAATTGAAATTACTTGACAGAAATGTTTATCAAAAAAAGACTTTGTGCAGAGTGCATGTTTGACCTATCTCAGGTTAAGGTCAATATTTCTGTTTTAATATCATTAAAAATAAAAATCTGACAATATCATGATAAAGAAACTTCTTTTACGATTCCATGATATACTTAAAACAAAATCTTTTAAATTATATTGGATTTCAAGTCATGTAGGTATACGAGGAAATGAAAAAGTAGATGCTTTAGCTAAACAATCATGAAATTTTCAAACAACTGACTTATTGTTACCTGCTTGTGATTTTAGACCGGCTATAAATAAACTCGTATCATCTGAATGGAAAGCAAATTGGGACAATGCCGTTTTTTATAAACTTCACGATATAAACCCATCTCTTGATGTGTCACCATCTCTATCTCTGTCAAACCGCAATGATCAAGCAGTTCTTCTTCGATGCCGAATTGGACACACTAAAATTTCCAACTCTTTATCTCCTCACGAATGACAATGCCCCTTTCTGTGTAGCTTGTAATGAAAGTTTTACAATCAAGCATTTTCTTCTTGAATGTCATGATTTTTCAGAGGCCCGTAATAGATTTTATTGTGTAAATTCACTCAAAGAACTCTTTAATACAATTCCATCAAAAAACACCATTGATTATTTGAAAGAGATAAACTTGTATTCTAGGATCTGATTGGCTAATTTTTATTGTCATTAAAAAAGTTTAACATAAAATATTAAGCCTATTATAGCATTCGGCACGATATAATGGCCAGTTATGTGTTGACGTGCCGTAAAAATCCAAACAAACAAAAACAAATACACTTAAACATTTTGTATCAATTTCAAAATTTTGTGTCCTTTCTGTATCTTTTGAACCGATGAAAAGTGATTGTAACCTTTTGGCAAAAATATTTCTTGTAATGAGATGGTTTGCAGAACACAGGTTCGTGTATCTTGCCTCGCCCCAGGGTAAATTGTTTAGACTTATATAGGAAAACATGAAAAACAACAAAAAATGAATTTACCTTGGAAGTCATATAGCATCACAAGGATGATTAAGGCAAAACATTTTTAGACAAGTTTCTTAATTGAGTCTCTACCCTAATTGAAAGATTATGTTCATTACTCAAACAAATTAACATTCAGGCCTATAATTCCCCGCCTTTGCGGTGCTCTTGTTTTTATTCATGACAGACGTACAAATGCGGAATTGATAACAATTTAGTTCTAAACTTGTTTCTATACAGAAATACCTCTCTCTATATATATAAATCATAACATTGTGACTCGTGTTTAAGATACAAAAACACTCACAAGAAACTGTTTTTTTTTTCCTCCTTCTTGCTGAGTTTGATATATTTGGATTTTGCCCTTTCATATATATCTAAGTGTCAACCAATGAACTGTTCAATACTTTAACATTAGATTCATATGTCCCTCAAATGATTTTAACTAATAAAGAAGGAAAAAGTGTTTTCCCAAATGAAAATGTTATTCGTGAGTAATTCAAATCATGGCAAACTCGATTTGTTAGCTCATTTAACACTTAAGTTGAACTTTTCTGGTCAATATATATGTTGATTTGATCAAATTAAAAAAAAGCACGCTTAGTTCTCTTTTCTAACAAGGGCAACATACGCTCGTCACAAAAGCTTTTGAGAGAGATGTGAACATTAAAGATATGCATATAGGAGATATGCTCTGGGCAATTTCCGGAAAATATCTGGATACTTTATCATCTCTAGTGACCTTGAAAATATTAACCTTAATTACATGTGTCATACTTGTAGCAAGATAGTAATCAATTATGTTACAATCTATCAGTAAATGATGACTAAATGGTCCCCGTACACAAATTTTGACCTCTCTAGGTGTCTTTGACTTTGTAGCAGAGACCTGGATTATGTGCACAATTTGCCACACAATGGTGAACATTTGTGGCAAGTTACATTAAAATTCAAAGATAAATTTAGAAGTTCGGTTCCGAACAAGCATTTTTCAATAACCTCTAAGTGTGACCTTAACTTTTGAGTTAGCGACCTGGTTCATGCATGTGACACTGCATCTTATAGCGGTGAACATTTCTATGAATTTTTCATAAAAAATCCAACCATGCGATGAAGAGACATGTTATGGACAAAATTGCCTTGTTTTATCATCTTTAGTAACCTTGACCTTGCATATATTAACCTTAATTACATGTTTCGAACCAGTAGTCATGATAATGACCATTTGTGTTTCAATCCCTCAATAAATGATGGTCTGAATACATATTTAATATTTTTATTAGAACTTTTACTCCTTTGTATGACCTTTACCTTGACCACAGGGACCTAAAGTTTGCACGCGACACTCCGCCTTATAATGATGAACATTTATGCCAAGTTATATTGAAATCATTTTATGCATGATGCAGTTTTGCTCAAGACAAGCGTTTCTCAATGACTTCTGAGTGTAACCTTGACCTTTGACCTTGATACCTAGTTTATGCGCATAACACTGCTTCTTAAAGTGGTGAACATTTGTATGAAGTTTCATTAGAATCCCCCAATGTGCGAAGGAGATATCTTCAGGACAAAATCTGTATTTTATCATTTGAAGTCTTCTTGTCTTTAGTGACATTGGCCTTCCATAGTTTACCTTAATCACATGTGTCACACCAGTAGTCATGATAATGACCCTTTGTGTTTCAATTCCTCAATAAATGATGACTAAACGGTCCGAATACACATTTTCATATCCTTATCTGAACTTTGACACCTATATGTGACCTTGACCTTGGCCACAGGGACCTTGACGTTTGACCTTGAAACACTACTTCCAATTTTGGTAAACTTTTCTATGAAGTTTTACTTAAATACTCCATTCATGTAGGAGATATGCTCAAGAAAAAATTAATTGGACGCCAGTAGGGGGAGCTTAATTCGACCCATTTTTCAAACGGGCGTATGAAAATTATTAATATGTTTTTCAAAAAGAATCTGCCCTTAAGTGTAAATTTTCAAAGTATCAACACTTCCTTTTGTCAATTTAAATTACTTTGGAATTTTTTCACCTCCATTTCCTGAGATGTCTTACGTAAAATATATTGATAGTCGCATGATAATTGAGTAGGCATCTGCCCAAAGATCAGTTAAATAAATGACTCCTCTGTCACGCCTCTCTTCTAAAAACGCATTTACGTTACTTCCCTTCCTACTCAATAGCAGGCCGAGTACACCTGCAACCGACCTGCAAAGAACACAGAAAGGACTCATGCCCCGACCCGCCTGCCTATAAAAACGTCTATGTTATCTTTAAATAAATCATTGTTCAATAACATTGTCTATTGCATATCGGTAAGTGAAAGAAAAACAATGAATATAAAAGATAAGCAAAATGCGTTTATGTTCTTTTCTTACCTTTTTAAAATAAACGTTGTGAGAATTTTTCTCCTCAGATTTTTCTTTTAATTAAAACGCCGTTGTCAAAAATAAAGTAATGATAGTTATTAAATCTCGAAAGAATTCAAACAAAATCAAAATTCTTTACCCTCTTCATCAATGTTAGGACGAATATTTGTTTGTAGTTCTGTAAAACCACAAACTGCTCTCTGACCAGCGGTGTTTCTCTACAAGGGATTGTGAACTACCTCTTATTCTGCCTAATAGCTCCTTCAATGTACTTGGTATATCACTCAAGGCAGGAACAAAAGAGTCAGCCATGTTCCAATATTCTGATGCATACCCTCGCTTCGCAGGTGTGTTGTAATCTGCTTCATCTCCTGTACTCGTCGTTGAAGTCACAGTGCTGAATTAACGGCATCCTTTGAGGAAGGTGCAGGAACTTGCTCAAGGCCACCATCAATTATGATATAACATCTTTTAACAGGTTGTATTAATCTTGTAGAAAGAAATATTCAAGACTCTGAATTATCAATCCATTGGTATGCCTTCAAAAACATAACGTCTTTTATCAAAGTATTAAAAATTGTAGTTTCCAATAGTTAGTGTAATGCAGATTTTAAAACAT